AAAACATGAGATTTGGAGAGTGCTGGCAGGTACAGTTTTGTTGGAATAGAGTAGGTCTGGAGGCCTCCGCCTGCCCAGCTGAGTGACCGGATACCTCGGGAGCACTGGTTCAGCCGGTGGGCTGGGGGCCACCCTACCGCTCCCCCAGACTGGGCATGCTGTTGCCTTGTGAGCTTCTGCCCAGTTCGTAGGCACCGTAATAGTTGTTTGGGGGCTTAATATATTGTCTTGTGCTGTGACCTGAACAGCATCCTGCTTGATTATTCCATAGCCAGTTTTCCAGAAAAATGCAGAAAATGCTTGACTTGTTGAACAAATATTTTACAGCAGTAAGAATCCTTATTGCATCGAGTCCAGCTAGTATTTCAGTGTTGGGCATTATAATGAAAGTGAAATATATAAATTCACTTAACCTAGTCACACTATTTTCAGCTCTTATTGTCACTGTTTGCATGGTAAGTTGTTCTTTCAGTTTTTTTTCCCTTCAGGCAATATAATTTTGTATTTGTATATGTATAGTATATATTTTAAACATGTTAAGCAGGCTTTGCTTTATAGTATTTCACACATTTCGGTAGTGAATTTCTGGCTTTTAAGTTAGAAGGCAAGAAAGAACTGGTCACTTCCTCCTATATCTGGCTAAGATGTTCCATATTTCTGTCAAAGATGAAAGTTGGGTTAGTGAGCTTGATATCTTGTTGAAGCCTTTGTACTGAATAGGAAAGGTGTTGTCTTTAAATGAGACAGTTCCGGTACAATACAGAGCTGAGTAACATTGAGTTTAACACAAGAATAATACCAAATGTTGATGAGTGTCTTTGGTAGATGTATTCTTGGAAAGGGGGCTGGGAATACAAATAGAAGGGTGTGTAAATTATGTCTTGCTACATGTAGAATGTGTAGCATGAACATGTTAGTTGACTAAGCCAAACTGAGCGTCTTTTTCATGCTGGGGCATGAAACTTTTTAACATGTTTTGATATGTTTGGATATTATTCAGAGTATTCAGATATTATGCAGGATATTCAGGTTATTTTTTGTTGTGGTTTTACCATTTAGCAGTCAAATTCTTGAATTTTTGAAGAACAAGGATACAAACTATTGCTGCAAGGAAAGTTGTTTCAGATGATACAAAATATTGATGTGTTAGAGGGTACATAATCTGTAAAAGTCTATGTAGGTGTAACGGTGGTATGTACTAGTTACAGATCAATGTGTAGTTTGAGTCCTTTGATATCAGAGCCAGGATTGGACACATTGAGTGCTCGTACATGGAGGGAGCTCTTCATGTGTGCTTAGGTCTGCAGATACTCAGCAATTCTTTCTGCCCTTTATATTGTTCTGGAATATGAGATTTTGGGAACAAAAGCCTTGGGAAATGTAGAAAGCTACACTGATTGCTCAGTCACAGCTTGGATCATCTTTGAGAGCCAAGATAAACATGATGCATGATACTTATCTGGTAGGCAGCTCTAATTGCTACACCAGGGCATTACGGAGGGCAGTGGGAGTTCTGTGCTGGAGCTGGGGTACAAAAAGCTTTTTCTAAGGAATGCTGACTGTATAAATAATGCTGCAAAGGGCAATATGAAAATGAAGGAGGAGAAATGCTGTTATAACACTTATGATTATAAAAAACCTTTTTCCTTGTTTGCCTTCTGTTTATTATTACTCTGTCAAATTACAGTTTTAATTTCCAAATGTAAGCTGGAAAGACAAGGAAATGCAGAGCAGGCATGTGTTATGGTGTATTTCCCTTACATGAGGAAGGTGGGCTAGGGAGGCAGACCTGGGCAAGAGCAGCATGCTGCCCTGGCCTCTGTCTTGCAGAGCTGTTTGCTCCTCTTCTGAATATGTCAACTAATGTGTAACACTCTTCTGAAAAGTTGTGCTACAGTCTTTGAATTACATCAGTATGACATTGACGTTGCCTCAGTAGTCAAGAAGGCTTGCTGATCTCCTCTGGATGTCTCCTGCTTTACTCTGTGCTGAAAAGAATTCTCTTGAGTCTTGAGGTTCACCAGCTCTTGTTCATGAAGAGCATACCTTTCAAATGGTATGCAAGAAGATCTAAACAGCTTGGTCTTCACTGCAAGCCATGTCAATTACAAATCAGAGCTGACAAATTCAACTTTCTTTTAAAACCCGGTCTTTTTAGGCTTCTTTTTTAGGGAGCTGCATGCAGTATTTCCCCTAAATTGTTCTTGGTGTGTAGGCACGAAGTGCTAGGAACTACAATAAGTAAATCAAACAGCTGGCAGTACTGTGGTATGGTGGAACTATGGTGGAATAAAAGAAAGAATAAATGTAAGATGACTCATTACAAAAACAGCCCTTTCTGTCTCCAAACAGAAACCTCAGACTTGTGCAGTGTAGTCTTGAATATAAAAAATAAATGCCTAACTTTTTGTTGTGGTATTTACCTGTCACAAGATGTAATACTGCCTGTTATATGGGGGTGTGGGGGAAGTCTCCTGAGTTTGTGTTATGAGGTAGCTGGGATGTCTTAGAGCCAGCTGTTCTTCTACAAACATACAAACTGTTATATTAGATTTTAATGTAATTATTCTCATCACATCGATGTCAAGAGCTATGTTGTCTGGTAGAGTAAGCTTTGTGTACTTATTTTATTCGGGAATAGTTCAACCTGAAAATAAATTCTTAACAGTTAAAACTCTTAACCTCTGATCTATATTTTAAAGTCTGATGGAAGCACCAGGTAGTCTTAACGCCAACCTAGGAAAGTGGGCCTTTAGAAAAGGCAAACAACTGGGAATGCAGTCAGTTTAGCAGAAAGACCTTGTATCTGGGTCTTTGTTCAGTGCCTAAATGAATACTACCTTTCGTGGATTTTGTGGGAAGTATCTACCTGTACTGACATCAGGACTAATGATAGTTTCAAAGCTGCACTTCATTGGTGTATCTCATAGAGCCTGGCCTTTTGTGTCTTGGTCTGTCTGATTGATTCCAGCTTTGCACATAGTTTCTCTAACCTGTTTGATGCATGGTACTTGGCACACTTATTTGGGCACTGCCTTGCAAGAAGACTTAACCTCTTTAAATGAGGGGGGGAAGCTGCTTGAGCTGTCCTCAAATTTTCTTTATTAATATAAAGTCTGTTCTGACTTTACAGGATTTGACAAACTCTAGAGATCAGGTATATAGAAATACTACATTTAGTCAGCAGAGGGAGAAATCTTGCCTTGAGGAGGACTGCAATGATGAGGATTTGAGGGGAATGTTTAGTTAAAAAAAGAAAAAAATGCCACTTGAGTTGGCCAATTCTGTGTCAGCCTGTTCACAGCTGAGAACAGCTCAACTGTGTATGACTTAATGTCTTTGTGGAATTTCTTATAAATGTACATAATATTTGCAAATATAGAATATAGGAGTAGGTGTAAAAATAGGCAAGACTGCACAATATGCATTAAGAACACTTTTTTTGCAATCTGTCATGTCAGTGCAATAGCAACAAGGCAGTCCTGTGCTATCAAACATGAGTAGATCCTTGCCCTTTTCTGAGTGAACACTACATGTGTAAAGATCGAGTCTGTGGAGAGAGGAGGCAGCCAAACGGAGGGACAGCCGGCTGCTCAAACAGTTTAATTTTGGCTGAAATCTTAGAATAACTTCCTCAATGTGGAAGAACAGCATAGGCTGGCTATTTCACAAAACTGTATCAGCTACTGAGTACTGAAACTGCTCTATAAAGTTTGCTTAAAATGCTAAGTTTGTCAAAGGCTTGTTGATATGACTGATTCAAACAATTGTAATTAAATACATGTCTATGGTTTTTTCCATTTGATCGATTAGAACTTTGTGTACAGGCAGTTTGAAGAAAATGAATTTTGATTAAGCCAAGTCTATTCAATTACAACACTGACAGTATGTTAGCAGCCTACGTTAAGATTATCTTTATAATGAAGGCCTTTGGTAATCAGTCATCACCCCGTTATCTTGTATGTAATGCTGGAGTTATAACTGGCTTGAGGCAATGCTTTCTCTGAACCACGAGGTGTTTTTGAAATGGTCACCCCTGATCATCATTGTATTCTTACATTACACAGTCAAAGAGTAAGAGCTATATTCATTGTATATAGTGGAGTGAGGTAATAATATGCTTTCAGCCTTGTTTAAGGTGCCTTTTTACTAATTAACATTCAGTTTTCAGGTTAGTACTTCATTCCTAATGTAAATAAATGGCAAACTTTGCTTAAAAAGTTAGATTAATGTGTAATTACTCTTTGTGTTTCTCTGAGTCTTAAATCTGTTTACATTGATATACTTCTGACTTTATCATAATTGAGATACTCTGTTTTGGTATGGTTGTGCTTAAGGTATTTCAATTTTGTGGTTGTATTTTGGCAGCTGTGGGTTCGTTTGTGTGGGGTTTTTTAATATTCCCTTTCTTATGGTGGCATGCTTTGAGGTCACATTCAGGTTGTATTTGCTATGTTATTCCTGCAGTTCTTGGAAGTTTTTTTGACTTTCCAAAATATATTTTCAATCCAAATGTGTCCGAGTGCCTCATCAAGTGAATGCTATTAGCAATGCAATGAGATTACAGTAGTTATGTCAAACAACTAAAATTCAAAATTATTCTCTTGACAGAAAATAATAATGCTAAATGTCTGTTTCATTCTGAAAATATTTAGCTATTACCTGTTTGTGTGTTAGTGTTTATGTGTAGATTTAAAAATGAGCATCTTTCAAACATTGCTCTTGCCAATTTGAGAATATCACTGTATAGTATGCATTGATTTAAGCTGGTTGTTTTTATAAAGCATCTTGTCTCTCAAGTCTTAGGATGCAACCTGAAGGAGTAATGGTTGTGGCTGCAGAATGACTTTTTACTCTACTAAGCTATGCACTTTTGATATGTACTTGATTTTTTTGAATTGCTATCTGATAAGACTTTCTTTCCAAAGCCATATAACTGCAAATCATTTTGGGCTTACAATGTGCTAACATTCTTGCTTATATATGTTTCTCCTTTTAAGGCAAGAACTTCTGAAGTGGAATGGATGGGGATATAATGACTCCAAATTCATCTTCAATAAGAAGGGTCAAGCAGAATTCACAGGAAAAAGGTAAGCTGAAAATTTTTATAACTGCAGTATCTTATTTGATGATTTTCTTGAAAAGAGTTTAAAAACTGCATTGTTCAGTTAATGCAAAGAAAGCAAACCCTTTTCTTTATCTCATAGAAAAGTTTATTAGTTATTCTGCATTTAACAGGTTTACTGAATTCCATACACTGTAGTCTAACGTGTAGTAAAATAGACCGTGTGGCTTGTTGGAAGGTTTATTAAAAGCATTCAGGACAAATTAACGTGAGTCTTCTCTGTAACTTGATATACTCTGTGCATTAAATGTCTCTTGGAGAATGGTATCAGACTGAGAATCTGCACCATGTTCTAAAGCTTTAGGTAACGTGCAGCAGGTCAGTGCGGTTTTGCCAGTTTTGAGAATCTCTTCTTGAGATCTTGAGCATCAACAGGTTGCTTTATTAAACTTCCAATTTGTGTTTCAGGTTTCTTAACCATTGTGCATGGAGCTACTTTATCCTCTGAGCTTAAAATTAAAAACTGCTTTTCAGTTGTGTGTTTTGTAGTGGCAACACTTCTGACTTACCTACTAGCCCTTTTTTACAGCAGGCTTGTTTTTCTGAGAAATGTTTTTTTTGAGGAAATTACATTAAAATTAAGTCGACTTGGGGATTTCTTAATTTTCTTCCAGTGAGATTTAAGCCTGTTACTTAGCATCCTAACTAGTTTTTTTTTTTTCTTCTGCTTCAGTGGAAAGTAGTTTTGCAGTCTCTTCCCTGGTTTAAAAAATACACTTTTTGTAAGAGTAAAGAACAACAACAGGGAAGAGAAATAAGTACTGTCCTTCAGAAAAATTCCTTCCTGGTCTCTATGACCAGGTATGAGCTAGTTTGAGTCAAAGCTGTTGAGCACTTTAAGCCTTAATTTATTAATTTGCAAATTAATATTAAAATGCAAAGCCTTGTCTTAGGCACTTGAGCTCACTGTATAATATTTAGGGAGATCTTGGTGGTCTCTCTTCTCTTGCCAGGATTCTGACTCTTGTCACTTTGTCACTCATTCTTTCATCTGATACCTTCAGTTTATCTGAGGTAGGTTATGCTGCATAGAAAACTTACGTAGTGTGCTTTGAAGAAAAAATAAAAAAAGGTAAAGAGCTGCAATTGGATTTTTTTTTTCAGGAGGGAAGCATCAAGGCTGCTGTCTGAGTACTAGTCACTGTCCTAGATGGGGGGGAGAATGGTGGGGTTTTCCCCCATCTGCATTCTTGCTAACTGGTAGATAGTATTAGAAATGCCCTGTTGGGCCATACCAGTGTAGTTTCTGTGGAGTAGTTTGTCACAGTGGCAAAAGGAGAGTGAAGTGAAAATCTGAAAATAGGCATCTGCAAAAATGTTGTACATGCCTCTTCCTTTTAGTATCCACTTACAGATCTGTTGTCCATAAATTTGTCTAATAGCTTTCAAGTCTGCTGATGCTGTCTGCCTCTACAGCATCCTGTGGCAGCAAGTTCCAGGTTGCTGTTGTGTAAAGTGCTTGTGTTTTAAACTAAGTATCCCTTACGGTATTGTAGGATTAGGTGAGTGATGGTTTGTCAGCTTATCTACTGCTCTGTTGATTATATAAGACTCAATTATATCCTCTCTTCCACTTTCTGTCCATGCTGTGAGGAGTCCTGGGCCCTTTAGTCTCTGCTTGTAAGGCCCCTTGGTCTTCACAGTTGCTGTTCTCTGAACCCTCTCTAGCTCTACTACATCTTTTTGGTGAGACAGGGACAAAAACTGTGTGCAGCATTCATGGTGAAGATACACCAGGGTTCTACAGAGCAGAGCTGTGTTCTTTCTTATGCGTGCCTGGTTGATGCATAACATTATTGGCTGCTGTTGTATGTTGGCAGTGAAGACTTTTCCTATACTGACTACTGGTCTGATTCCGCAAAAGATGCGAGTAATGCTTTTTTTTTTAATCTTCCATCTTCATCTGTCAGGTCAGGTTTTTTTAAGGTCCTGAGTTACTTCCTATCAATGTAGTATCTACCTGCCCAAAAGAGCTGCTTGTATTCACTTGGCTGGAGAGTCCACTGATGAATCCAGATCACTGATGCAGACATTATATGAAACTGGGTCCTTCTTGGACAGTCATCAATAAACCCTGCCCTTTGCTTCTTATCTTAACCGTACCTTATCCTTCAGCCTCTAGAAGAACCTTTCCTTCAGCAGCAATATATTTTCTTAAATATCTTTTGGTGTCAACACCTGTCGAAGTATAAAGAAGTGTGGAATTTAATGTTCGTTGTATCTCCTTTATTTACGTCCTACTTTCACACCCTGACAGAACTCCAAGGGTTAGTGAAACAGGATTTCTCTTTATGAAAGCCATGTTGACTTTCCCAACAGACTATGCTTTTCCATGTGCTAAATGATCTTTTCATTATAGACTCTATCATCTCACCAGGGATAGGTTGATACTTACTAGTGTGAGCAACTAAACCTGTGTTTGAGGGGTGAGTGTGCATGGAGGAGGTCTCTTGGGGGGCTTCTTGCACCATCTACGTGCATATAAAGCTTGCTTCCTGAGCAATCACACACTGCATTTTGTGCAGTAAACTCACTAACTCTGTGCTGTGACTTCTGTCTGTGTCTTGACTTAAAAATTGTTGGTTTTCTGATAGCTTTAGTTTGTCCTTTGAATAAGTGATTGCAAGCTAGCTATAGTAATGGGTTGGCAATATCAAAAAGTATGTCTGGAGAAGAAAACACACCAAGCTGACCTTGAGTCTTTCTTACCTTTGTTGCAAACTTCTGATGCAAATTCATTTAACTTCCATTGCTTATTGCACTTTCCTTTTCATAGAATTCACATAACTTTCATGTGGGTATAATGATACAATAACAGCTGTCACAGGAGGAATGACTGAATGCTGTCTTAGAAGCTGAAGAGTTTAGCTTGAGTTGCGATATGGTTGTAGCCTTTAATCTCTAGGAAGAGTAGGGTTTTTGCAATAGGAGAACTGGGAGGTAGTTGACATAAGGAAACAAAAGGAATCGATCTTTCTGTGTAATAGGTGACTTAGTTGTAGAGTTGGTTGCAACATGTGAAGGATAGGGCTGTAATTGGATTAACAGTGGTTGAATAATCTTAGGAGGAATACCTATGAGGCATAATGCAATGACCCAGGTGCGAACTATAGTAAGTATTCTCAGCTGCTGAAAGCTCTTAATACCAAAGAAAGGTCCTTTTTTCTCTTCTCAGAGAATGTTTGTGTATATGTAAACGCGCCCAAGGTGTGTATATGTATACAGTTAATGGCAATAGTTTTTACCTGTTCAAGTGTGTCCCCAGCCTTATTTCTTTTCACACGTGGTACAGATGTTCACAAACAGCTCCTCTGTCCCTTGTCTGTAAGTCTTCATCTGTCACATAGCTAAGCTCTTGCCAAAGAGTTTGCAACAGAAATAAATCCACACTTCTTGATGGCTTCTGATGATGAGCAAAGAATCTTTAATGCTGTTTTTCTTCAAAACATGTAAGGTGTACTGAGCTGGGCTTGTGTGTGACTGCTGTTGTTTACGTTGCAGTGGGTCTGTACACACATAGCCTCTACCTGTAACAGGCGTGCAAACTGTGATGCTGCTTTCTGCACTACTGAAAGGGAGAGACCTTCTGTAAAAGTGAAGATGGGGGAGTGGGATATCTGAGGAGTCTAATGCCACAATATCCAAAGATCGTGACAGAAAATAATACCTAAGATGTTGACATATGATTTGATTTTGTGTGAAGTACAGAACAGTTAAATACAATGAAATGTGCAATTGTATGAAAACTAAATGTGCAGAAGCTTTGCAGGCTTGTAGGTAAAGAATTTGATTTAAAACTTAACCATTTGTGCATATGTAAAATCGGAAGAAGTGTATCTGACTTTTAATTTAAAATGACCCTATGTAATATTGACTTTTCAGGTACAGATTAGGTGGTATGGTATTACCAACTTTTAAGGAATGGATAGAAAAAACCTTTGGAGCAAGTCTGGAGCACAAAACTACCTCTAGAGTAAGTAAATAGCTGAACCAGTTCCTTTGAACATTAGTCTTGGTGATAATCAAGACCACATTGTTAAAGATGATTCAGCTGTTGTCCTGAAGGTCACCTTGCACATGATTTAATATAGTGTATAAATACTGCAGTTTTTGAAAAAAGTGTTCTACATAAAATGTTCAATGACTTAGCATGACTTGTGGTTCCAGGTTAAGTGGTGGTACTTTTATTGGAATGAAAGTCTCCCAACACAGGGAGGGGTTTTTTTTGTCCTTGTTTGTAGGTTGCTTTTCAAGTTTGTGGAAACTGTTAGCCTAGAGGTTTATGCAACTTCAATGTTGTTCATGACAACAAAGACAGAAGATACAGTGAAGTTAAATTGTGCTGTGTTTTCAGTGTATCTAATGATATCCAAGTTCTTGTTTGACAGTAATTTTTTTACAATGCCTGGGTGCTGAAAACTGGCTACCAGAATACTCAAGATTGAGTTGAACGTTTTCAGAACAACAGCACATTCTGAATGTTCTGGGTTTTGTGAAACATCCATATTTTGCTTTTCCATAACAGTAACTCATGTCAGAGTCAGGAAACTTGACTCCCTTCCAAGAATTCCTTTGAGGTTGCAGGTTCCTGACTAGTTAGCTGCTTAAGCAGTGTTGGAAGCACGCTATGCTTGTACATCAACTATAGCAACCCTGCTTTGCGTAACAGTTTTACCCATTTCCTGAGTGAGTTCAAGATTGCGTTTTCTCTGAAGTAGGTGATCTCACAGAGCCTGAAAACTTGAACACTTCTTCAGTCTTCTGTTAATCAAGACATTCTTTCATCTGTTATGACTTGCAGGATCCCATCTGCCAATATATTTTGAAGAAAAAAAAAAAAACAACCCAAAACATTTGATGTGTTTTCCTTGACCAGTATTGGTCTTAACTGGCCAGCTGCTTTAATTTGCTGTGACTGGAAGTCCTGAGAGATGTTCCCTTTCTACATGTAGAGGAAATATAGAAAAATGTAAAGTTGGAGGACAAGGGCAGATTCTTGAATAGTATCTTGATTCTACAGCACATCTTGCAAAACAGCTCTTCAGGATATTTGCTGGCAATATTGAATGCTTTTCTGTTATGTTGTGCCCCTCTGGTCCTGATGTCCTTGTTGCAATCTGAAACAGGCTGGCTACCTTGACACAGAATAGGACTTTTTGGAGCCTCAAATATGTATATGGACTTCTCATAGCTATTCTCAACTACTACTGAATGTCCCCCGTTTTCATGTCTCTGTCATGGTTCCTAGCTTATATTTCAGGTTGTCATGCTATATTGGTTTTTCACCTTCTACTGTCATCAGAGCATAAAGGAACTTGATTATAGGAACAGCAGTAGGAGAAGACTCTCTTGGACCACTTGTCTTTCTATCTCATCTCTTCCTGCCTCTGTTTTACAAGACTGGGGAGCTCCCTGTTGCATGCAACTCTTCTGTTACAATTAACAACAGTAAATGTACTTGCTTCCGTGATGCTCGAGGCCTGATGATGATTTTTACTTTTTCAGACTAGACTTACCATACGTAGCAGTTTAGACCTAGTTCACGTAGGCTTCCTGTCTAGCCTTCCAGTGCATAAATCTTAAAATATTTTAGTCCCATAAGACTAAATAAAGGTATACTTTGTTTGGCATTGTGTATAAGATTTATGTGGATACATATTAACTCTTTAGTCTTGAAGATAAAACCTAAAGGATTAAAATACTTCTGGAAGAGAGATAAAAATCAAGATACTTAAGACCATCTGCAAGGAATTGTTACAGCTTTAAGTATTTTGTGTGTCTCATGGAGAACAAAGATTTTCAAGCACTTGGTGTTCAACTTGATATGATATTAAATAGTTCTGTCTGTGGAAATCCATGAAGAAACCAAAGCTTAAAATAGAAAATGTGTTTGTTTTTCATGTTTCCCAAGTTTCTGTCAGAGCTCTGCTCTTTGGGTTAGCAAACAGCATTGTGAATGTGTATTAATAGCAGAATAGAGCAGCAATCCAAGATTTGAATTTGTCTCTGCTTATTGTGACTGGCCCCTAAAATCATGATCTCTCACCTGAGCAACACTTAATCTCAATTTCTGTGTTTGTCAGTGACAAAGTGAATATATTGTTGGGAAAAGCCTTTCCCAGATGCCTGACGCCTTATTTCAAGAAGTAGAATATTATCCTTAAAGCAAGTCAGAACAGCATGTATCCTCTTCCAGAAGTCAAATCATTGTTAAAACTATTTTCATTAGGTCATGTGTCCCATATTGAAAACTCTAAACCAAACACTTAGCTGTCCTTTTGAACCTCTAAATGTTGTTCAATCATGAACATCTCATGCAGATATTGCTTTCTGAATTATTTCTGTAAGTACTCTTAATTTCTACATAACCTTACGTAGCTTCTTGTAGGATGGACACTGATAGGCAAGTTCCATCACCATGGATCTTTTGACTAACTGAAAACTTTCCAATTGAAGGTTAAAGCTTCCCTTCTTCAGCTTTTACTTCTGACTGCCGCTGTGGTGGCGAATGGGAGGCAATTAATCTCGGTTTTCCTTGCTGTTAGCTTGGTAACCAGTGCTATACTCTAAACTTTTATCCTAAGACACATGTTGGCAAAAAGTACCAGCTGTTCTGGAGGTTATGTAGAGCAAAGATAGATAAAACACCATTCCAGAAAAGAAAATTTGGATGGGTAGGTGTACTTTTTGTAGAAGACTGAAAGTTCGGAAGGTGAAAGAAAAGTGAATGCAGTTTTGCTGTTTTCTGTTTGTACTTGTGAAGAAGCATAGGCTAGGGTCATCAAAGGAATGTCTATGTGGAACATTTTGTATGAAGTAGTGTTTGGTGGTAGGGCTTTAAGCAAGCCCTTCCCAGCATCCTTAGACAGCCCATAGTCTTTCCTGATGGCTTTGCAACAAAACTGCAAGAATGTTCTTCTATTTGAGTTGAAGGTGATGTCAGTTAATTTCCAGCAAGTTTTCGTGACAGAAGTTTGAAAGCACTGCACTATGTTTTAACTAATTTTTGTGGAACTCCTAACTTTTAAGAGTGTATTTAAAATAAAAGATGGAGTAGTGAAACATTTTCAGTTCTCCTATTCTTGAACTTGGGGGACTTTGATAACTGGAAATAAGATTCTTGACCGACATTTTACTTCAAAATAGGAGTTGAAGTCCAGAAGTTAGTTTTTAGTAATAAGACAAGCTTTCTATCTAATTAAAGAGCTCCTTAATTAGAGGCCATTTGTAATAGATGATGTATTCCTTTAGAGAGGTTAGCCAAAAAGTAAAAATTAATTTATTGGCTCCATTTTTAAGGAGGGGGAGAAAAAGCATGTTGTTCTCTTGGAACCTTGAAAGAATTGCACTTAATGTCTACAAAGATCTTACTTTTTTGGAACTGGGTCCTGTAAACAATCCTTATTCTCTTAAGTAGGTTAAAAACATAGTTCATGTGTTGACTTTTTAATGTGCCGGATATCTAAAGTGGACTTTAGAAAAGAGAATTATGTGGTGAGGTCTGCACTTTGAGAAGCCATAAGAATACTATATGAGACATCTGTTGTAAGGTTGTCTTTTTTTCTAGCAGCCCATTCCTCCAGGTCCTTAAGCAGGGGTTTTCCCTCTGGACTTACAGAACCTTGATTCAAGGCCTGTTGGTAAGCCAAAATGTTGAGTGTAGCTTCTTTGAAAGAAAAACTTTTTCCCAAGGTGTTAATCAGAACTAATAGCTAGAGGCTTTCTGGAAGCATCTGCATGTCAGTGACTGAACGTGGATTTTTATAAAGTCTTTCTGATGCATGAGGTCTGCTTAAAGTATGCTGATTATGTTAGATCAGTCAAACTTAGTTTTGCCTTGCTTTGGACTTTTGATTAGGCTTTGGTCTGAGATGGCTTTAACTTCCAGTATGTGATAGTAGGAGGGGGAAGTGGGTTGGTAGAAACAGAAACGTAAATGGAGGAATTTGCAGAATGGGTAGTTGCTTTAATATGTATTCCTCCATATTGGAGGAGGAATTTATATTTAAGAAGGCATGTTGACCTTCAATCTCTACCCCTTTATCAACAGGAGAGTCTCTAGTTGTGTTCAGGCAGCTGTTTTTCTTTGGATCTTGGGAAGGCTTTAAAAAGGTATTTTGTTCAGTATGTGCTCATAAGCTAGTGCATTTCTCCAAATTTCTCAGGAGGAAAAAAGGTAAGAATGTGCTACTGAAATAAAACTTCCTCTATGCATCTAGGCAGTGGGGTACCAGGGAGGACAAGTGGAATCAGTGACTGAAGAATGAGGAAGGCAACTTCTGTATTTCTGATCTTAAATAGTTGAGTTTAGGTATCGGTTAGTGTTAACCTGTTTTTATTATTTTTGTTGTACAGAAGTGCCGTAAGAGTGAACCTACCTTTAATGATCTTATTTTCTTGTATTGTAGGCATCCTTAAATGTTAATGATGTACCTCCATCCATTGTAAATGAAGAATTTCTTCAGGATCTTAGAGCCACTAAAATCTCATATTCGCAGGACGCAGAAGATAGGGTATTCAGAGCTCACGGTAAGAGAACTTCATTTATGTAACTGTGCTGCTTTTGATGCTTCCTTGTTTGAGCTTGTTAACTCATTGTTTGTGTTTCAGGTCACTGCCTACATGAGATATTTGTACTCAGGGAAGGAATGTTTAAGCGAATTCCTGATATAGTTGTATGGCCTGGTAAGCTTCAATTGTCTTATTCTCCCTTCTGATTTAGGAGGCCATTGTTTTAGTAAACTCCTGTGCTTTCTTGTCATGGGGAAGCTGTATCTTGGTTCACTGACTTCACTCGCCTTTACAGAAACTGAAGGAATTTTCTCCTGAATGGTAATCATGATTGCTTAACATCTGGCTTGCAGGTTGTGCCTGTGAAATCCCATCACTTTGTAGGGAAGTGAAATTTATTATTAAATATAGCTGAAGTTTCTGTTGACAGATGAACTCATGACTTAAGTAGCCACAGTGTACTCCTATCAGAACACCTTATAAAGGATCACTGACTTGAAGAAAGAGCAGTGCAATCTAAGTACAGGCTTAGGTCCACTTAAATAGAGTAATAACTAATGCTATTGTAGATAATGTGTAGCAGAACATATGCTTGCTTCTGTTTAGTAGAAGGATACAAACACGCAAACAGATTTGACTTTATTTCCAGACTTTTGTGAATTTTCTACCTGAGTCACGTTTCTCTGGTCACTAGGAACTACTTCCCATGTGCCATTCTTCAATAGCTAACCAAAAAGACATTTGATCTAAGTACCTGTCAATTTCTGTTTAGCTATATGAATCCAACTCTTTCCTTATTTTTTATAACTCTTTCTGATACTTTGATATCTGCACTGCATTAGAAACCCCAACATTTCTGATAAGAACTTAGTCTTAGCTTGCTTCCTTTATTTAGGGGGAAAAAAAATCACATATGGGAAGCATAAAAAGAGGCACTATAAGATGCATCTAATTACTTGAGGACAGGTACTGACATGACAGCACTGGTGACTGAACAGCACTTGCCACAGCTTTATTTGTGCAGCTCCAAAAGGAACTGAAATCAAATGATTGACTACCTTTGTTTAGAGCTGCTCTGTATGGTAAGGGCACAGTAGCTAGAGTTTGTAAGCCTATTTATTCAGTCCTGCTCATTCTCTGCTGCTTGCATGAACTCATGTACGGCCTGTATTTGATCTTTTTGATCCTTGTCCTTGCCTGTGCACAAGCATTCTGCTTCCCTCTTTGACCAGATACAGAATGCATTCTGAAAAGGTAAACTTCACCAGCAACTCTACTTTTGAAACTGAATGTCAGCCAGGAAGAAAAAGATGTGTTGTTCATCTCTCAAAGATACTTATTTCTCACTTAAAATAAATTGGACAGCCTATTCTCAATAAAAGCTTTAAACTTGATTTCTTCTCCAAGATACCTGGATTAATTGGTAACTGTTTGGTAGCCCATCTTACCCTGAGAGTTTGCAGGTGGTCTCAGTCCATGACTAGAGCAGGAGACAATGGCTGTAGTTTGTTCTTCAAATACAGAATTGTTTCAGGACTAAACTTTGGTCTAGAACTCTGATGTTTCTGACCCCAGCTCTTATTTAGCACCTAGCTCTTTGAAATGTCTTCCTTGCTGGTGTCAGAAAAGGAGCTGTTGCTTATTCAGACTTGCAGTATTTAGTACTAAGCACAAATCCTGTTTTTTAACTGTTTGGACTTTTTTAGTTTGCCATGAAGATGTAGTTAAAATTGTGGAATTAGCCTGCAAACACAATCTCTGCATAATACCATTTGGCGGTAAGTGTTATGAAATCTCAAATCTGTTTAACATTACCAGTGAAAATGTATTCTACTGGAATTCAGTTTAAGTGTGTCATCTTAGTAATATATTGTACCATTAATTCAATAGTTAGACTTTTTAATAGTATTTTAAGTGTCGTCTTAATGTTTTTATGATCTTGAAGTATTAAAAGCTGCTATATTAAATTTAGTGGAAGTCATTAAAAGTGTGTCAACATGTTGAATATTAAATGTGCAAGAGGAGTGATTATATGAAGCTGAAATCTACCTCTGTCTTGGAAGTCTTCTAGGAAATAAGAGATTCAAATATGTTGGAGGTAACATGGTTTTGGATGTGTTACTTGTGTTCTGTTCCCACAAACATGTATAAATTAGGGTTTTTTTGTTGTACTGTTGAAACTCAAAGGTCCAGGGAGGATTGTGGTCAGATACCGTACTGCAAAATCATTAACCATAATTCTAATTTCCTTTTAGACATTGTTCAGTTTGAAAGTTATAGTAGAGATTCTTGTCACAAGGGTTTTACAGAAAATGTTCCAGGTACAGAGTACAGGTAAAGGCCTGCGTTCTTCTCGGCCTAAACAATTTCTAAAGGACTTCAGGTTTTTAATCATGGATGCTTTTTCCTCTAAGTCTGCTGAAGTAGAGTGGTGAGCTACTTTGTTTTAACTTAGAGCTTAGGGAAAACAAGATGTTGGCTTTAATGACTTTGTTCTGTGAAAAGTTGTTTTTGTCAAGAACTCTTAATTCTCTGGGATTAATATGTGTGTTCTACTTGATACTTGCTTATGCTGTAGGAGTATAGCCCCTGTAGGAAGGACACTTACTGTTTGAGAAGGTGAGCGTGTCACTTGAAGACCATACCAAACTAGTAGAGCTGGTTTGTCCCTAAAATGCTCTCACCCTTGCCAGATCCATCTGGAGAGCTGCAAGACTGCTACAGGTCACTTTGGTACTAGTAAATTGGTACAGCTGAAAGCAGCAATATCGAGTATCTCTTGTTCATTGACCAGGATACAGGAAGATCTTCAGAGTGTTTTCCAAGTCTGTTTATACTGAACTACAGTAAACTTCTGGATTTATTACTGTAGGGGTTGATATTTAAGGAAAATGCCACCTTTTGTATCACTGGCTTTACCGCACCTGGGAAGTGTTTTATTAGTTGGCACTGTCTCTGTACTTGCCATTGGTTGTTCCTCTTGTGGCTTGCTGTGGATCTTTAGCATCCCAGTAGCTCTTTTCCTATGGCTTTTGTAGTCTTTGAGAAGCCAAAGACTTCTTGGAGGCTGTCCTGTGACATCCTATAAAGATACATTAGAAACCTCCAGAGAAGTTTGACTTTTTGTTTTATCCATTTTTTGTATAGTTACATCCTTTCAGTTTCTTGCTTTCAGGTAAGTATTGTATTCCTGTATTAGGTAAACTTCTTAAGCCAGCTTTCTAGGTAGAAGTGTTATAGCTTCCATAGTGATCGATCTCAAAAGAGTATTTAGCAACCATAGCTATCTCTTTCTTGGATGGCTTTGTTGTTTCTTATGCTTCTTTGTTTTAAAACTCTATTCTGGACTTAACAGAAGCAGCTGAGATGGTCATAGAATTTCATGGTGTTAAAACATAGTCAGCTCCAGTGCTGCCTTGATTTTGTAAAACCCAGTTTTTGCGAGAAGACACAGCCTTAAAAGGCTAATCATTAGCCTCAAACAGTTAGCTTCAGTGATCTTACTTTAGTACTATAGTATATTTAGTACAATATCAGAAAGGAGGGAGAGAGGGATGGTATGTGAAGAAAAAACACCTGAGAATTTTATGACAATGTTGCCCCCATATTTGCAGGAGGGACAAGTGTCTCTAGTGCTCTTGAATGTCCTGAAGAAGAAAAAAGAACAATTATCTCACTGGATACATCACAAATGGTATGTGTCTCTTAATTTTTTCATCTTTATTTTTTTAAGTTATCCTACAGTTAACTTTAGTGATCACTAGAGAATATTTCTTTCTTTGCAAGAATAAAGTAGGGATGGAAGTATTAATCTGTACCATGCATGATTTGATTAATACTCCTTCAGTTGAAGTTATATTTTGCTGATGTTAGCCATGTATGACTTCAGTATGGCCTGTATGTATTTAATAGGGGAAAAAAATCACTGTTAAGCCTTCTTGTAGCAGCTTTAAGTGAAAATCAGAGGAAGCCACTATTCTATATTGGAACTCGTACCCGAGGTTAAATGAAAGGCTAGGAGGAAGTTATTTGTTATTGCAGATTTCACTAGTTTTTGCAGACTTAAAAGTACTTAAAGCAAAGGTTGGTAAGGTGACCCAATGTCTATAAATCAGCTTGAGGGATCAAGTTTAAAGACAAAAAAACCTAGATTTTTGTGTAGATAGCATCTTGAGTATGTGAAGTTCATAGGTTTATTGCAGTCTAGAAATGAAGTTCTGTAAAATTTAGTGCTAGTCTTCATCTTTCCTTTATGAAGGAGCTTTAGACTTTTAAAACGATAGTTTTATGACTATATGGTAATGAGATGCTTCAGAAACAGTTCTGTATCTTTGTAAGGCCTCTGAGTACCTGCTGAGCTTATTAACTCCTTTAGCCTTGAAGATAAGACCTGGGTTTTGGCTCCATTATCTCCACTCGGTCAGTGGTGCTTCAGTTAAACTTGTTTCTCAGTATGTCTGGCTACAAAGTGATCTTTTTGGCAAAGGTGGTAGTTGTATATTGAAGGAAGCTCTTTGGGTATCTATATGGAGTGAAATCCAAAGAGTACAATACTGACTCAAGCCTTCGTTTGAACTCATTGATTCATAGCCCACAGCTTTGACTTCCTTCTGGTTTGGGGGTGGGAAAGGAATGTGGTTATCTCTTCTTATCATGCTTTTGTGTCAGCTAGGTATGTAAGTATACACCAAGTCAGAAAATAGACCACTTTCATGTGTCTTGAATGACTCTGCTAGCCAATTATTGTAATCATTAATGAGGAAGGAAAAGAAATAAATTAAGGTGAAAAAAAGTATTGTCAGTGTTGAAATCTGGGTGTTTCAGAGCAGTTAAGATGATTGGCTAAGCTTTACTATTTTAATAGACACTTACTTAATGGGTATCTTCATCTTATGTAGAGTCTATATTGCATAAAAACTGATTTACATAAGCATCTTAAATAGGTTAAGCAGTTTATATTGAAGCTGAAGGTGTCTGAAAGGAGCTGAACTAGCTGGCTTTGAATAATTAGCTAGCCCAGATGTTGTGAGGGGAGACAATTTCTTTAAAGCGTAGTTTAAGTTGGACTACAAGATGTCCATATTTGTCATTTGAAAAATCAAGACAAAGGGAAGCTAGAGGTGTTCTCCTTGTATGCAATATCAATACACAAAATTATAGAAGTACACCAGAACTGTACTTAATAAGAACGAAGATTAGAAGCTGAGGCTTCTGTGACATCCTTATTATAAACAAAGCTAAAACCATATTTAAGTTTTTCCTTCATGTGGATTGTCCTCATTGACGATCATGCTTAGTGCACCATGTAACTTGTAGCGTTTACTACTTTTCCTATTTAGTAGAATATACTGATGGGACAGTGAGTGTCTCATTGGATAAAAATTATATAATCCTTCCAAGTATCTTAAATTTCTGAAGTACATACATACTCTGACATCCTGTAGTAATCTTGCTTCTAGCTTACTGTGTCAAGATCCAGCAGCCTAACTGGAATAACTGAATGCAGTCTATTATAACCCATGGAGTATGTTTAAGAATACGTTTCTTGGTGCATACTTAATGTCCAGATAGTCAGATTCAGTCATGTTAATTGTGAAAATCACTGTATTGCTTAAGTTCTGTAAGAGTTTTGACTTAATTCTTTCTGGCTTTTCTGCATTGTTTCTGTAAACGTTCCTAGTATAAATTGACTAATAAGTATTGTACTCTTATAGTGGTGACTTCATAAATTGTAACCTGTTGTGTAGCTGTTTGAGGGAGTGAAGGGGCTCACCTTCCACTGCTGTAATAACTGGAGTTGTATTAATAGTAAACTGTATGACCAAGCATGTTGATCCTATAGCATTAGGGAAGGAAATAAAAATCTTTAACACTGATTCTTAGTTTTGAACGGCTTTTCAACAGAACCGGATTCTCTGGATAGATGAGAAAAACTTAACAGCTTGTGTGGAAGCTGGCATTGTTGGACAAGATCTGGAAAAACAGGTATTTTTAACTTTCCTAGCTGTTCCTCATGTCTTGTCTAAATCATTGAACTCTAGCTTAATTCTTGTGTGTTTCCATGCAGACTGGTGTGGTAAGCATTATATGTATGCCTATGAACCATATAGCATTGGATGCTGTATTTGAACATTTTAAATTTTTTTTCTCTTTAGTTCTAGCCACAAAATGTCACTACAGTAGTAAGTTGACAATTCATAGGATGTAATGCTGTGCTTTGTTTCAAACCTTAGATAAACCCTTGTGGCTGCAAGACATAATGCTTTGTACCAATTACCAGGAAAAGTTCAAATTGTCATTTTGTGATCAAGTTTTAGTCATTTGGCCAGAGGTCCTTTCCTCAGAAAGGTTAGAACATATAACATATCAGCTCTTTTTGCTGCTTCTTAAGGCCAGCTACAGGAGAGTAGCAGAAAGGATGGAGAGCTGCCCAAAACAAGAGTTCAGTGGAAGATTAAATCACCTTAATTTTAAGTGACCTCTAGTGGCTTGTAATTGCAGTTTGTCAGATGAACCACAGCACCCTTCTCAGGGTCTTTTTGGTGTTCCTCTATGATCAAGCAAGTTGTGGATGTTTGTTACTGTTCTTCAGGATGTGCAGTTCTGCTTATTTAAAAAAAAATTCTAGGACTTGACTTATTTGATAGCTAAATGTTGTCTAAACTTTTCTTAGTGCCTAAATGCACTTTACAAATATGCAGAGATTTGAAGGGGTTTTTGAATGTTTTTTTCCAGACCACTTTTTACAAGAAAACTTGTCATACTTGACTAATAGAGCTGTTTATGATGAGGCCTTTCCTGCCTCTTATTTTATTTTCCCTTTTATCATTTGATGTAATATTTTAACCTTTCCAGATGTGTTTCTCTCAAGCCTAGAATTAAAATGTGAAGGGAATATTCTCTGCATTTAAATGACATCTTTCCAGGATAGTAGTTTGATATTTCACAACTATCTATCCTTTAAATGCCACTACTTTTCCTTTCACTTAAAGTAAGGGACAATATTCCCTTGCTGCTTATAGCTCTTATGAGCTGAAATACTACTGTTGTAGTTATCCTTTTTGAATATTTTTTTATAAAAAACTTTTTTCAATCAGGTTTTTGGCTATGAAAAGAGTACTTGTCAATTTGTTCAATACTGAATATAAACTAGTATTCATACAAGGGTTTTAATAACATGGAGTGACTGAGCGCATGAGGACTTCTGTGCAGTTCCTTCAGTCTGCAAAGAATTCAAAATCAGATAATCTACTTAATGTGTGTGTGTATATATATTTAAAAACTTACTACATGTACTGGAACCCCAGTGTTACTAGCAAATGGGATGTGATTAAAGCTAGGACTCAGTTGTGCTTGTTTTGTGTAGTACAGTCTGAACATAACTATGATTTAATATTATAGTTAATGCCAGTTTAGACTTCCACTGAAGTACAGGTAGAATGCAGACAGACATTTGGACTGTACAAAGAAGAAACTGTTTGAAAGGGCTTTTTGGTTTGGTTTGCAGCTTGCTAGTATCAAGTAATCTTTGGATTGAAGGGTAATCCAATTTCTGTTGCCTTACGAGACTTTACCAGCATTCTCTAGGAATTGTGTTGCAGTGGAAAGGTTTGGTGCCTCTTGCTGTGTTCCTCACTTTTTTTGGGTGCTGGGGTTACTCAGTAGGCTATCTCATTTACAGATACCATGAATCTTACAACAGTAAAATAGAGCTGAATTCTAAACAAATAACAGACTTGGAAAACCTGATATTTGACAGAAGTTAGGCTGTAAGTGGTGTTATAATGGGGCATTCAAAATCAATGTGCACTTCACACATTTGTCTGTCTGAGTAAGTGACTCTAGTGTGATTAAGACACTATTTTCTGTGGGATGAGAACTCTGGGTATCAGTGGGCTCTATGGAGAAGCCTCAAGTTACTTGTTTTGTCAGAACAGAATATGGAATAATAGCTGATAGGTGAGGACTAAAGGTGGCAAAAGGATAATGAAGATAGAATGATGATTGATATTGTTTGTTGTAATAAGCATTATCAATTGAATTGTGATTCTATAGGAAAGCCTAGTACATGCTTATATTTTCTGGATGAGGTTGTCTCTTGCATCTGCAAAGTATATAGCATAATTTCTCCCCTATCCTGTTAAGTGCTCTTAGCAAATGCTGTTTGTACAACAGGCTTCAAGGAGTTTAGACCAAGTGCTTTGTACATGCACAGTCAGTTACAAGTTTCCAAAAGCACGGTCTTCTGCTGTGCTTGTGTTTATACAACTTGTAGAAACTGGTAAGTTGTGACTGAAGCAAATTTCTTGTCATGTTGGGGAACAAGGAGGGTGCAGGCTCCAACCCTTCCCTAATATATGACCAGTAAGCATAAAAAGCTACAAGCTCCTCTGGTGTGAGAGAGGACTGTGATCTAGATGAATCGCCGTAGATGTTACATAGAAGTGACTCTCAGTCATTTAAGTTAGAAGCACTTTGTACAACAGAACATAGTTAATGATCCACATCATGTGGTATACTTAAATACCTATGTCCAACTGGATTGTTATCAGTTGGTCAGTGCAAATTGGTAATCTCAAATGCACTAACACAGTTATCACTTAATGTGAGACTGGGTCTTTAATTCTTCCTGTCCGACAGCTTTGGTGTTGCAATTCTGAGGGCGTTCAGTCAACCTCAGGTGCTGTGCAGATGGCAAAGTCAAGCTAATACAGAAAAATGAGAAACAAGTGACTACTTAATGTACAGGAATGCGTGATCTGCATTGCAAATAGTTGACAGCGTTGCATACAGGAAGCCCAGCCAGATGGCTGTATATTAGAACACATCACTCCTTGAGAGAATTAAGTACAGGCAATTTGCTCACATTTTCTGCAGACCTGCTGCATATCACATTAGGACAGAAAGAACAAGAGATTAAGTGTCTTATTGGCAGTGTTTGTGCAAAGTTGGCAGTCACTTAGTTATAATTTTTTTCCATATGTATTTGAATTTGCACCTTCTTATGAACAATAGAAGTCTTAGTTTTAAAATATGGGGGAGGAGTATTATAGGTTGATATGTAAGCACAGCATATGTACAGTAGAAGCAGAATCAATTTGCATTTCATTTACATATCAGACAAAACTTGCGCTTCAATAAATGGAGGTATGGTCAGGATACTCAAAAAGAAACAAACCCACCCATCAGACAAAACTTGCGCTTCAATAAATGGAGGTGTGGTCAGGATACTCAAAAAAAACCAAACCCACCCTAGAATGTTGATATTTGGAGTACAAAGCAATTGCAGGCTCTGTAGAATGTATTTTTTTTTTCTTTAGCTTGCTGAAAATGGCTTCTGTACAGGCCATGAACCAGACTCCATGGAGTTCAGTTCACTAGGAGGATGGGTAGCAACACGAGCATCAGGCATGAAAAAAAACATCTATGGAAACATTGAAGATCTGGTAAGTAGTTCTAATGCTTTTCCTAGTTAATTATTCTGTTTGGAGGCTTAACTTTTATAGTGACTCACAATGAAGGGAAATGGGATAGTAAATTGCGGTTCGCTTAACAAATGATACAGTTTTGGCATCAAATCTTGAATGAAATGCTTGTTTGCTTTTGATATTAGGACTAATAATCCCTATTGCTGATCTAAAAGTCAAGTTTCATTTTGGTACTCACTGGGAAGGAGTGACTCCACTACCTTCTTTCACTGTTCTGTGCTTTCTATTAATCCAGTTTAATAATCCTGTCAAACTTTTAGGGTGATTCCAAAATCCCCATGTTGTCTCTTGCTTGTTGTGTGATCCTGAAGTTGTCTAGTTGGATCATCTAACTCCGACAGCAAGCTAGCTCTTTCCACCTTCCTACCTTCCCCTAGGCTAGTAGTTTTTTCAAACCAGTAGGCTGATCTAATTGACCATGTGGATGCACAGTGGTGAAATCTAATGCCACCACATGGTCTGTAGGAACCCTGAGGAAGGAAGCAATGGACTGGGAATGGCAGTATTCTACTCTTGAATCTGTTTTAAGCATTAAAATGGTTCATCTTTTTATTAACCCAGGTAACTTCGTTTTTTAAATCATACTTTTGACTTAAAAATCTACCTTTTTCTGGTATAACAAATATATTGAAGTTAAGTAATCACTGTTCAGACTTCGCCTTTTTGCTTCAAACTTCCAGCTTTCTTTTGTAGTTTGTACAATAACCCTTCCACACATGAGGGTTTTTCCTTCTTTCCTGCAGCACACTCTAAGTAATTTATCCCCATCAGCTGATAGTTCAGACATGTTTGTTCTGTGCACAGATGTGATGCTTCTGTATCAGTAACTGAGCTTGGCAGGAACTACAGTTTTTATTCGATAGGCCTGGCTGAAGTAAAACTACTAGCACTTACCAAGTGTCATCTGTCCCCTACTGCCTGAAGTGTTACTGAATGGTATAGTTTTGCTTGGACTGGAAGATGTGGAACAGAAGGCTTTTCTATTATGGAAGCATAACTCCAGGCTAAAACAGCTTCTGAAATTTTCATTAGGAGGAAATAGGATTGAAAATTGATTTGGAACACTTCACGAGTTTCAGAATGCCATAGTGAGAAAGTTTCAGGGAAGTGTTTACCTTCAGAGGAAACTTTATATCTAGAAATGGTGTGTTATATAAGCTGCCTAAAGTCCACTTATTGCAGAATCAACAGTTCATAAAATGCACGTAATGAAATTCTTGAAGAACTCAGAGCAGGATGAAAATTACCTAGTGACCTGTGTTTGAAAGTTTTAAAGTCATTAGTTGAAATTCAGTAATTTTGTTTCATTTAAGGGCTTCACTAAAAAAAAAAACACCAAACCCCACCCTTCCTTGGTTTAAAATAATTGAATAAAGGACTAAAAAAATATCTGGGCTTTGTATTGCATGTGCATTAATAAAGCTGGCAGCAATTACATTGAAAAACATGTTGAAAAGCAACTTTCTAGCTTTACATATGTATCAGTCTTATGGCAGATTTAATATCGATAATCTAGAACACAAAGCTTACTTCTGTCTTTTTTCCTAGTAGAAATATTTCTGTAGCAACTGACTGAATTGTATCAGCTTTATCAAGCAGTGGTTCTAAAGCAAATTCTAAGCAAAATTTAAACCCTCACTTTTTTCCTCTGAAGTACTATGTATATGCTGGACTAAAAATCCTAGTACTCATAAAGTACTATCTACACTGAGAAACAAAGCAGTTCTAACTGGTACTGTCTGCATGTAGCAAACAGTTGATTTGTCATAGAAATGGAAACAATCTGTTGTGTGGGCAAACCATGCTGTGTTAGAAATAATCGTTAGTAACAGTCCTCAGGTTACCCAAAAGTTCTTGGGGCTACCTACAGAATGTCTAAAGTCTACAGAGCTGAACTGTATCAAGCTTAATATAGATTTTGTAGAAAATAAATATAATAAACCAAAAATCTGTGCTTAATGCTAGTATTTATAGTCATTGCATATTGTTTAAACAGGTGATTCATATAAAAATGGTAACTCCTAGAGGAATAGTAGAAAAAAACTGTCAAGTACCTCGCATGTCAACAGGACCTGATATCCATCACTTCATTATGGGATCTGAAGGTATAAACACAGTAATTTCACATAACTGCATCTTAATTCAGCTTCTGTAATGGCTTGATTAGAGCATCTTTAATGCTGTGGCTTCCACTATGCTTATGGGTGGCATTATGCAGGCATGAATTTCTTGTATTAGGTGAATACATTGAGACTTTAATTAGGACTGTGAAGTTAAGCAATGCTGAACAGTGCTTAAAACAGATCTGTGGAATTAGCCTATAAGCCTACTAACAAACATAATGATTTAGAGGGTATCTTGTAAGAAGTCACCACGTAAATAGTTAGGAATAAATCGTATACTACTGCAATACTGAATTTTGGGGATTTCTGATTTATGTTAACTTACAATATCCTGGTAAACAGTTGTTAAGTTGGGTAATGTGCAAGAAGTACGTCTTGCAACACTTTACTTAGTTTTTCTTTTTTCCTGAAGGAACTCTTGGAGTGGTTACTGAAGTTACGATAAAGATTCGCCCAGTCCCTGAATACCAGAAGTATGGCTCTGTGGTCTTCCCCAACTTTGAACGAGGGGTGGCCTGCTTAAGGGAAGTGGCAAAGCAGGTAAAGAGGTTGACTTCACTCAAGAACAGATTGTAGCATGAGGGGTGTGCTGACACTCTAGTGTTTCTGGCAATTGATAATCAAGGATTTGAGACGACATGAACTTCATAAGTATATATGGTCCATGAGGCTTTTAGAAATTATGCAATTAAGGATTGAGCATGTTCTGAATTTGCTTAATAGTCTGAGCCAAATTATGGATGTGCCTTTTTTCCAAATTATGGATGGCTTTTTTCAGTGGGAGTTATTTGCATATCTCATCACAGAAAATTTAGCTTTGCATCTTCTTCAGCAGAGAGCTTCATCCTCAGACTAATTCAGAACTATGTAAAAGGGACCAGTACTTAAAGGAATTAACTTGCAGCATACAAGTAAAAGGCAGTTGAATTTATGGCTCTGAAATGACAAAGGAACAAAAGTCATGCAAGGGAAAGATATGGCTGGTATGTAGAAAACTCCTCTTGAAGCACAGTGACATGTTCAGTTGAGCTGGATATTTTGAGGTGGAATTGTATTTACACTGTAGTATTTAAGTAGAGCCTTCCAAGTAGTGTGGTCAGATGGCTTCAGGCAGCAAAATTCAGACATGGATATCCAAATTGTGTAATGCTTTTCCTCATGGCTGTGCTTCCAAGCAAATCTTACATTGGCTAGCCTCTTTCTTCATGATCTTAGACTAACTTTTCTTTGCTGTGAGCAAAACTTATCAAATAATTTCTGTGAATGGTGGAATATACCCTGAATTGGGGAAGTAATTTCACAAATGTTTTAATTAATGCCAAACTAAACATAGCTTTACATTTTTTCCAGTGATTGATCTAAATTAATGACTTAATGTTCCAAGCCAGATGTTCAAACTGGTATGTGAATGACATGTACATGCTATTCAGCAGCACTTGCCAGTTCTTCTGTTGTGCTTCTACTGCTAGTGCTTATTCTTCCTGTTAAAGGTACCTAAGCAGACTATTTTGGAATGCTGAATCATATGACCGATCAACATTTTAAGTCAATTAAGGAACTAGTGTCTTTTCCCTAGCTATGGGCTTAGTTAAAAGAGGAAAAAAAGCACTATTAGCCATGTAGTTTTGCTCTATTTCTAAGCTTCTGTTGCTGCTGTTTCACTACTTACTTGAGCCTGAACTACTTATTCCTATCTTCTGTTGCCCCTCACATTAATCTTGGTAGTAACTACAAAGATTGCTATCTGAAAAGCTGTTTCTTGTCTGTTTTGGTCTACTTTAATGTAAGAATAACCAACCTGCAGCTTGTGGGTGGGTTGGTCTCACTTAAAACCATTCATTCAGCCGCCTTCTGTCAACCTGCCTGGTGACCTATCTTGGTTCTTAATGTTGTGTGACCAAATATGTCTCAATGATATGATGCAGGGTGAACATGTCAAATCAAGTGATAGAAGAGTACTTCCATATCCATGTGATTAGATGAAGACTAGTCTAAAATTCAGGCTTTGTTATATTCCTCTGGCCATACATTTCAGTATGACTGGATAGAGCCATCACAGATTACACGAGGTAGGCATATGTATGACCAGAAGCTTGCCTAATTGGAGGCAGCTATTCTTACTGGGTTTCAGATTTCTGTACTGTGCAGAATCTAGATTTGACCCAGATACAGATTTTAATTGCAATCTGGTAGAATATTAGTGTACTGGGTCTGGCTGGGATGGAGATAATTTTCTTCATAGCAGCCTGTGCAGTGCTATCTTGTGTACTTCTGACCAAAACAATCTTAACACCAATGTTTTAGCTATTGCTGAACAGTGTGTACGCAGTGTCAAGGCTTTCTGTTTCTCACTCTCCTACTACCAGCAAGTAGGCTGGGAGGGAATGCAGTTGGGACAGCTGACCCAAATTGACCAAAAGGATATTCTGTACCATATAACATCATGGTCAGAAATAAAACTGGAGGGGGGAGTTTTCTAGGGGTTGCAATTGCTTAAGGACTGGCTGGATGTTGGTCAGCTGGTGGTAATTTGATTGCTTTTGCATCACTTTTTGGTGGTTTTTTCCCATTTTGCTCATCAAGCTGTCTTCATCTCAACCCATGAGTTTTCCCCCTTTTGCCCTTCTGGTTTTCTCCCCCATCCCACTGTGGGGGAGTAAGTGAGCAGCTGTATAAGTGCATAGCTGCCTGCTGGGGTTAACCTGCAGCAATTATACCTTTCAGTGGATTTTTAATGTATGTGTGTCTCTGATTACATAGCAACATAAGCTTGATAGAGCATGGTACCTTTAGTGCATATGGCAATTTAGAAAAACACTCAATACTTGAAGGCCAAAGATCTTTGAACTATTCCTTATGTTGGTTGAGGTTAAACTGAAAATTCTCAGTGCACTATATCTAGACATACCTAATAGATGTTGCTATTCAAGTGAAAACAAGCTTATAGTCACCCCTTTTCAATCATGATGGTATCTGGTATCAAAGTGTACTTTCTTATACGCTATTTTTAAATGAAAACTTGAATTTCAGCAAAATTGTTTACATAATCTTTTTATTCTTCCTCCCTCAATCCCCTAACTTTGCACCCAAGAGATGTGCTCCTGCATCAATCCGCCTTGTTGACAATGCACAGTTTCAGTTTGGTAAGTATGTAGATAGTCTTCGATGAATATCTGTTTCCAGGGGTTTTAATTTTTGGTAGCTTAAGTCTGTTTTAGGTGGTAATTCTTTTGCTCAAAACTAGACAAAGGTGGCAATGAACCCAAAGTTCAAACACAACATAGTGCCATAACGTGTACTTTCAGAAGCAGAAGGCTGTCTCTGGTAAAAGAGTATCAATTACAACAGTCAGTAGAGTGCCATGCTGTGTGTGTATATGTAAGATTTTTTGCTACTTTTCCATTCTTGGTGTATAGTCTGCGGGAGAGTTTGAAATTCTGGAGGCTCTTCCTCTATTTTACTGTAAAGGAGCAGAGGTTATAGTATTGCAATATAGTCCTTGAAACATTTTTCTTGCTAAGAGTACTAATGAGAAGTCAGGTATGAAAAAAATAATCAGAGTGCAGGTGCCTTACTTTGAAGGTAAGTTAGTTGATTCCTTAAACTTAAGTGTCACAAGTAGTATACAGATTCCTTAGAAATAGCAGGTTGGGTTTTTTAAATATCCTGGTGTGGCAGTGATTATTCAGGTGGGAGAGAGGCAATGATGTACTTGTCCAAAGTGAGCTGTCTGTTTTTAAAAGAAGCTCAGATGTAGTAAATGCCATAATGGCATGCAAATGGAAGTAAGCTGTAGGCTTTAAGTATAGAAAGTCAGTGAAGCTACTAGAAGATCACTGACCACAAAGGTTTTATGAAATTTTCACTAGTTCAAACACCTAAATAGGACAATGTCAGATATGCAGAGCAATAATTTTTGAGCACTTCTTAAGGAAAGCTGTCATTTTAAACTGTAAGAAATTTGGCAAAATATTTGTTCTGGCTTAAGATGCTCTTGGGGAGAACTTAAAGTTCACTGCCCAAAAGCTAATAGTTTACAGGACTTGGAGGTCTTGCTGAGACCATGCTATTTTGATTGTACCCAGAAGATGAAAATGTTAAGTGTGACTGATGTTGAAAACCTTTGTTTTAATACCACTGGAACAAGTCAGAATTTCTGAAACGTCTTTTGGACAGAAGCCTCAGTGATGAATCTTGACTTCAAATAGCATTTATATGATGGTGTTTGAAGTTGAACTTCCCTTTTCAAACCAAGGAGATAGGGATCTGTAAGACCTGAGAGCCCAGCAAGTCTTGCTGCTTGCTTTGGTCCCTTTTGTGTTATACTGTTTCTCTCAGACATGTACAACAGAAGGCAGGTGCATTTTTCTTTCTTTTTAATTGGGGAAAAAAGTTTGACCAATTAAAGCTTTAAACCCAACACTGAATAAACCATTCTTCTACTTTTTAGCTTTGATCTGAGGTTGCAGCTTATATGGCCACCTGTGAAACATAAGTTTCAGGTGTGTCAATATAGGCTTTTCTTGTCATTATTAAGTAGGCTTAAATCCAATTTTTTTTTACAGATTGTGGCTTAATAAATTCATGTCCTTTTGTTCTCTGGTGCTTTTTTGTATGCATGGAGGGGTATTCCTTGGTGTTTGTTCATATCTGCAGGAGAGTCCCTCTTTTTTCTTGAGGGAAGGAGACTAATCAATTGCTGAAGTTCATGCTTTATTCAGGAGGAAATACTTTGTGAAGTATTTTAGACGGAAGTATCATGTAAATGGTGCGTAACTGTTTTTATGAATTGGGCTCACAGCATGTAGGCCAGATGCAAGACTGTTGAAGTGAAGCAGTAATGGGAGTTCAGAAGTTGCTTCTGACTGAAAACAATGGAACAAACAGTAAAAGACTTTCATCTCAATTAAACCCAGTCCTGAGGCAGAGATGTTAATTTAACAGACTCCAAGACACCATTTATATATCCTGGTAATTTTAGTTCCCCGTATGTGATTAAGGAAGCAATTACTAGCTTTATGTAGAAAATTTTGCACAAATGACATAACCGTTAAGGAAAAAATTGCTTAACTCTTAACATGCACCATTTTTGGCTATTGGTTTCAGTGGGCTTGGCATAACTTTAAAAAAGGTCACTGATTGTGCTTAGTTTTGTAGTGCAAAAACTAATGAAGTGCTCTTCTAAAATTTTTCCAAGTGCCATATACTTGAGAAGGTATAAACTAGGGCAGCCTTAATTCAGGTGTCAAATTAAATATTTGTGTACAGTTGTATGTATGCCTTGTAAAAAAAAAAAATCAATAAAAACCTTTTCTTAAATCATCTTCTAAATTATTAGAGTGAAATCTCTTAATTATGACAATTAAAGTGCTCCAAGTGATTCTTGCAACTTTGACTACCAAGCTATTTTTTTATTTGCCCATTGAAGTAGAAATTTTAAGAGCACGGTTTGCTTTAACACACCTTTTTCCACTTTTTGTCAAAGGTCATGCTCTTAAACCACAAGTTGCTTCCATTTTTACATCATTTTTGGATGGACTGAAAAAATTCTACATCACAAAGGTAACTTTTGGGGTTTAATACTGTTTGGAAATTGTATGCTATTCATAAAATTCAAGATTTTTTTTTTTGTATACTGTCTTGAATGCAGCTGAGTTTGAGTGTAACAGATCCTGCATTGTAGTATCAGCTAACTTGAGATTTTCAAGGTGGTTTAATCCAAAATGAGATAATCTGTTTGAGGAGTTATTCCATGAGAGCTGTCTCACTGGTCATATCTGTAGATGAGATTAATGTGCCTTGTCTAACAGCAAGTTAGTGACAGAACAAGACTGGAACCAATTTATCTAGCTTGCAGACCACTGATCATCAGTTAATACTGATGGAGTGAAGCTAAAGCTTTACTGTCTTCTCCTAGATTTTGTCAAGGTATGGTCTACCTTCTTATAACAGTAAACCAGAATTTTGGGAGAACCTCAAGATATTTGTCTTGAATTGCCCATATAAATTGGTTTTTTGTCTTTCTGGAATTCATCCTAATTGAATACCCTCTTCAATACAGTATTACTGGTGCTAAAATGATTTCATCTAGTCTTTTGTATTAAATAATTTGTCCTGTTAATGATTTTTTCCTCCAAATTAGCTAACTAGAGAGTTCCTGCAAATACAGGTATTCAAATGTAAAAAATGGCATCATCCTGGATTTAGATAACTGTTAGGTAGGAGGATGTAAACATTCCATTCTGATCTGATAATACTGAGTGTCTTCAAGGAGCAGGCTTACTTGAGAGACAGTGGCTAGTGTTGATTCTGCTGCTTTTTCTTGTGCTACTGAAGTAGAAAATGCTATGTGTCACAGGACATTTTTTGCTAGGGAATATCTATTAGGTTTAGAGATAGCCAAAAACTCTTTGCCTTCTCTCCCTGATCTGCGATAGTGCAGGAATATCTATAACAGTAAAGGTTTTGGCAACAAGATTGCTGTTGGTTTGAAACAATCCTAGTTAGCAATATCTACTGCTTATGTAGTCAGCAACAAGTATCGTTGCTTCATGGGATGTTGTATGCCAATTCTTCCAGCTCTGCAGGAGAGAAAGAACATGTGGAGAAATGAGAGAAATGCTATATAATACTGATGCAGAGATTCCAGGTTGATGACCAATCTGGAGGCCTTAGGTCTCAGTCCCCTTGTGTATATGAGCAACTGCTACTTCAGAAAAACTCCCAGCTGGGATGGGAGGTAGGAGTAGAGAAAGGAGCAAGTTTAATGACCCTGAGACCGATATTGCAGGTGTTACTGGCACCAAGATACTCAAATCCATCTTACACTTACTTCATCTGTGAATTGCTCCCTGTAAAAAAAAAAAAAAAAAACCCCACCACATCAGAATACAGAACACATCAGACTAACACTTCATTCTCTTATTGAACTTACTAGTTGTTTAGCTGATACCACTTAAGAGACTAGGGACAAAGTCTTTCTGGTTTATTCCTCCATGTAGTTTGGGACTGTTTGCTGATGCGTGAATGCTCTAGATATTGTTTGTTTACTAGTTCACACTGTAGCTAGTTCCTCCAGTGCCTCTTAAAGAGAACTATTTATTAAAGTGTTACCTGAGCATTAGAGCCAAAAGATAGCAGAATAGACAAAAGGATTCATACTAGATTAAATACAAGTGGTTCTAGAACAAGAAGGGACCATAAATAGCATCTTAATAGACCTTTATTCATGTCCTTGGAGTTTCACTGTAGTAACAATATTTCTTTCTATTTCTTAGCTATGCTGTTTTTGTAGGACTAATGGATAAGACAGATCCTTTGACCAGGGAGGTTTATTCTGTTTTGCAGTGCTTTTGATGGTAGTGTTTTGTTGGGGTGGTAGGGTGCAATACCCTTTTCAGAAATACTATCCTGGATGTGTCTGACTAGGGCTCACCATACAGATTTTAGCTCGTTGGCTAGGGGACTGAGCCACCACAAGATGCTTTGCCTCCTTGCTGTTTTTTTTGAATGATCCTGGTGCCTTCAGTTAACTTCTAGTACAGTTAATCTATTCAGCTAAGGAATAATAAGAGGAATAGCAACTAACTGGGATTTTTCTCAGCATAGCTGTTGTGCATAAAGGATGAATTTGAATCTCTTGACTATTAATGTGACTTGCTTGGTGCTTAAGTAACAGGTTACCACAAACAGAGGTAGAGACTGGAAGAGATGAATGCCAGTGGAAAGGGAAAGGCTTTAAAAATATAATTGCTGGTCAATATACATAATAAGAATACATTGTTCTAAATAATAAATGTATACCCTTTGTAACTGTAGAAAAAGGTTAATAACCTTTATTGCAATTTTATATTCATCTCTGTTCCTTCTGAAACCTGCTTAGTAGTGGTAGTTCACTGGAGCTAATTAATGATGAAAAAGTTATGCAGAAAATAAGTAAGGCTCTTACTTTTTGGACCAGTTTGCGAAGATACAGCTCTTGACTTTTACTCATGAAGCAAAGCCATACAGCCTTACTGCATTACTATTGAACCTTTAATAGTTGTCCTGGTTTCAGCTGGGATAGAGTTAATTTTCTTCCTAGTAGCTGGCATAGTGCTGTGTTTGGGATTTATTACCAGAAGAATGTTGATAACACACTGATGTTTTAGCTATTGCTAAGCAGTGCCTAGACTAGTCAAGAACTTTACAGCTTCCCATGCTCTGCCAGGGGCACAAGAAGCCGGGAGGGAGCACAGCCAGGACAGCTGATCCCAACTGGCCAAAGGGCTATTCCAGACCTTAGGATGTCGTGCTCAGTCTTCTAAGCTGGGGGGAGTTGGCAGGGGGCAGCAGTTGGTGCTCAGGGACGGGCTGGGCATCGGTTGGCAGGTGGTGAGCGGTTGCATCACTTTTTTCTCCTGGGTTTTGTTCCTCTCTCTTGTTGTTTTCCTTTTCATTGGAATTTTTTTTATTTTATTTTAATAATTAAACTAATCTCAGCCCATGAGTTTTCTTACTTTTGCTATTCAATTCTCTCCCCCATCCTGCCAGGGCGGAGGGTGAGCGAGTGGCTGTGTGGTGCTTGGTTGCTGACTGTGGTTAAACCATGACAATAGTTTTCTCCTCACTTCAGCTGGGATATGCTCCCTGCTAGAAGTTACTTTCCTTCCATAGTGCTTTTTCCAGCATAGAGATTTTCTGTGGCACACTGCTGATAAATTATTTTGAGAGCAGTGACATTTATGGTCATCATAGCCATCTTCCTGCTTTAATATAAGAACAGTTGATAGAATATAAATGTCTGACTATTGCTCAAAGCATTAAAGACCTGTTTTTTTTCTCATCAGCATAGGTAGGCAGCTGTTATGTCTATTCTGCTTTTTAACAGGGGAAAAAAAGGTTTCAGATAATGTTATTTCAGTGAGTTTGTAAATGTTTGTCCTGTCAAGGAAAAACTTGATTGTTTGGGGAGTAAATTTTTGTAAGATGTGCTTTTCCTAATCTTTCCTCTTAGTTGCAACAACACTTATTAACCAGAGCACATCCTGTGTATTGGAAAAGTAAAAACTTGTTGCTTCTATTCTACCACATAGGCTATGACATAATGCAGAGTTTTTTCCTCTTTGCAGTTTAAAGGATTTGATCCCAACGTACTGTGTGTAGCTACCTTGCTCTTTGAGGGTGACAGAGAGAAGGTTCTTCAGCATGAAAAGCAAGTCTATGATATTGCCACCAAGTTTGGGTATGCTTTTCAAAGAACTGTTTCATGTGAAGCTAGAAGTTAACTGTCCAGGAAAAAGATTAGGATTACCATATTTTTATAGAGATTACTGTATGGACATACTCTCAATTTTCTAGTTTGAAGTTGCAATAATCAATTAGCTACTAAATGTTCCCTTTTATAAATTTGACTTGTGCTAACTCTTAATAGGTAATTTTACTGAAAAACTTCATCTGTCTGTGTATTGCAGAAAAATAAGTATTTGACTAAATACAGAATTGATGTTATTAAAATGGAAACTAGCCCTTGTAATTGCTTGTAGGCACGGAAGCTGCTTGTTTTGCAATACTAGACTCTGTTTTAACTATAGAAGGGGAAAACAAAACCATAAGGGTGGTAATATGACTGATGTGAGCATATGAATACAAGAAGCTTGTTTAAAAGAAGACTTTGTATTTAAAGGAATGCAGTGCATTTCTGTCCGACAGACTGTTTTCTATTCTTACAAAGAAACATAAAACATTCACTGGAGTGGCAGACTTGAGTGATAATCAGGTAGCTTCTGTCCTGCTTTGATTAAGTGTGATTGATGAAAACCATCATTAAAAGTGTGGTTTGTCAAGAATATACTTTTTCCTTTTTAAGAAAGTCATTGCTAGTATTAGTCTCAACTACTCAAATATGCATAAGTGTTGTTTTATTAATTTCAAGGCAATCCTTTCTGAAATTTGTTTTCATCGTGCTTTCATTCTACCACTTAGGAAAGTGGGATTTGACATGAGCAGCTTGCTAACATTTGGTAATATTACTCTTGATCTTAAAGAGCATTTTAGTTGTTTTAATGTTGTATGCAAGAAAAGGCTTTAACTGTGAATCCTTTTGTATTTCAAGATGGTGTATTGATAAGGGAGGAAACTTTTCTGTTAGAAGATGGTGCTGCCTGTGCTGCTCAGTTAAGGCTATTAGTGTTTAATAGTTTAACCTTGTCTAAAATGCTAAACCATTTATTGGTTTAACAGTCTAAAATGCTTTAATTTTATCCTTCGGGATATCTGATTCTGCCCTCCACCCCACCCTGATTTATAGGAGCTTCTAGGAAGACTGATTACAGATACACAGCACTTTGCTTTTAATTATTGATTTCTGAGAACAAGAAAGACTTTCATAATGCTCCTAACTTGATAGATTAGTGAAACCAAGGCTTCCTTTTTCTTTAGTGCTGTATCTTTTTTTTTTAACCCATTCACATCACTTACACTTTTGGGATCTTAAGTCAGTAGTCTTGCTCTTGTGACCTGTGAGCATACAAGTGTACAAATCACAAATCCAACACGCTTATTGATGTAGTTACACATATTCCTGTAAATGAACATCAAGGATATACAATGTCTAGTTCGGTTTCCCCTGTTCTTTTGTGATGTTTGAATTCTGTTATTTTAAGACTGCATCAAATGTCTTGTTATTGTTCATCTCTCTTCAGATTATAGAATGAAAAGAGAAATGCAAAGAGTTAAAAGTCTGGTCTGAAGTAACTTTTTATTTCTAGTGAAGAGACCCTACTATTTGTGACTATTGTTACACATCTTAGAGGCAGCTAAACTTGCACATATGTTTGATAATCAGAGTATATTTTTAATTCTTTTTGGAAACTGGTGACTACTTTGCTGGAAAGCTAATTAAATTCTTATTAATTGCAGTGGCTTGGCAGCAGGAGAAGATAATGGACAGAGAGGATACATGCTGACATTTGTTATTGCTTACATTCGGGTAGGTTACCTTTCATCTGCCTTCTGAAACTTCTGTTAATTAATATAACAAAACATAGAGATGTCTTTTTGAAGATGCTTTCTCTGAAGTCTAAATGCCAGTTGCCTTGGATGATATCTCAAACTTCTCCCAGAGGCTGTATCTCTTCCATTTGACTAGTGTTTACTCATGGAACTTCATCTGCAAAACACCATAAAAATAGTAATTCATGTGCTTCTTAAGAAAATAGTTTCTAATAAAGGGTAGAGAAAATTAGATTGAAGAATCCACTAGCAGTTGCTAAATAAACTAGGTCAGACTTACAGATCTACAGGCTGAACGTAATCAGAGGCTGGGAGAGTACTTGGAATACTCGGTGCTCAGCTCTTACTCTTTGGACATCTGCTTATGGCTGTGGTTTGAATCAGAAATTCCAGGACGAATGGACCTTTAGTCTAAACTGCTGCAGCTGTTCTTATGAATTTTGTCTTACTGTTTGAGATATTTTGGGTTTTTTCAGAATGGTATGCATATGCTGAGTGCTAGATTTTATTTGGCTTTTATAGTCAGGGACAAATCACTGAATATCCCTTTATTTCAGCAGGCTATATGTAAAATGGGAAAAATATTTGTCTTTATTCTACCTAGGTAGAAATTATGTTCCAAATAAATATTTCTACTAGGTATTACATTGGTTAGCACAGTAGAGCTCTTGGCTTCATGCTGTAGTGATACAAATATTTGATTAGTGTAGGCACACTGATAGTCTGACAAGTTGTCTCACTACAGCCATGACATCAAAATGTTTGTCATCCCTATCTTTGAAGAGCTATCCTATTTCCATAATTATAAACTAATGTCATTGGGGCAGATGGGTGTTTTTGCTAAATAGACTTTCCCTTTTTCTCATACAAACTGAAGTTGCTCAACTGTTAGCTGTGTATGGAATCCCAGATGCTGATGCTGAATGTTACTGATAATTTCCTTTCTCTATTTATTAGGACCTGGGCCTGGATTACTATGTAATAGGAGAATCGTTTGAGACATCTGTTCCTTGGGATAGGTAAACTGTGATTATTCTTTAGAATTGCTTAAACTTGTACTTGATTTCATTCAAATTATTCCTAGCTCATGCTTGCTCATGGGGAAACTTAATTTAATTTAGGCCTTATGTGTATTGGAGGCTCCCTGATGTGCCTCAAATCTTGCACCTGTGTGTTCTTGCTAAAGTTGCTAGTAAATTACATATCAGGATTTTGTAAATGCAATGTAGTCAAGCATTCAGAAATATTTCTACTTAGGTTAGCTTACTGTAACAAGTTTGGGACTTGAAATTGCCCAGTTTAGGAAGCTGGACAATGGTGACCTCATTTCAGGAGAGAATGACTTTTTATCTAAGAATTGAAGAAACTATTTTAAATTGTCCTCACCAAAGCAAATGCTTTCAAAAACTTCTACTTTGACTCATAAGACCTATGCAATTTTCCATAAATCCATCAGTTACTCTGTTCCTGACTGGTTGAAGTTAGTTGAATAAAATATTTAGCTTTACTTGCTTATTCACTAAATTAATAAATTTCTCTTGTGTATTACTTCCGTCGATCTGTGAAGTAGTTTTAAATCTGTGTAAAATGTCTTAAAAATTTGAACTGTGTAGTATAGCACTGCAGACCTTCATGGGAAAACATAACTAAAGAAACAGTCATTGGAAAAAGTGATTTCTTTCAATTGTTCTAGCACTTTGGATGTACCTGGGTCTGCCCTGGGAGAAAAAAATAAAGCAAAAAAAGTATGGCTTATGATAAGGTTTAATAGTTCATTGCCATATTAGAACTGTAACATTTCAAGCTGGCAAACTAGTGCACAGCCAGACTATCTCCAGTTTTGGCCTTGCAACATACCAAAGGTATGGTATTAACAGATAGCGCAAGCCCTCAGAGTTTTCAAGCATTCTACTGTGAGCTGTATTTGTCAACTACTTTGCTGAAATTTGAGGCTGTTTTGCTGAGAAAGTAAGTAAAGATTTACAGAAGTGGGTAACCTCCATTTTCTGTTGAATGCTTTTGAATCCTAGCCCTTATGGGAAGAACTTTCTTATGTACTCTGCTTCAGAATAAACTTGCTATTCAGGAGAAGTACAGAAAAAGCAATACTAGTGAAGTCTTGATGATGACTATTCTAATACTAAGCTACTTAAAACTGGTTCTAGAAGGCGATCTTCTGTTTTATTAGATTATACTTTTTTAAAAAAGATTACCAAAGCTGAAGTTGTGTTTTTAGGAAGATGTATAAAGTCATATACTCAGATTTTATATTTTAATGTGTTTTCTGTTACAGGGTTTTGGACCTTTGTAGGAATGTAAAGGAAAGGATAGTAAGAGAATGCAAAGAAAAGGGTGTTCAGTTTGCTCCTTTTTCCACCTGCAGGTAAGCCATGCAACAACTTAAATAATTTTCTTTGATTAGTAAGAGAACTGAGGAAGAGGTCATTAAACTTGCTAGCTAGTAGGTAAAATGCATCTGTTAATGATACTACAAACACTAGTAATTTTGGCCTTCCTTTTTAACCTGCAAATGGATTACATGTAAGAGTGAGTAATTCAAGGGATTATTAGGACTTGATTAGTCTCGACACTTACTCTTGCTTACATGCACAAGAATCAAGTGTAACAACTTATTTAAGAGCTCCAACTCTGTCATAGCATTGAGTCACTTATGAAGTATGAGCAAAAAGGATACAAAACTACTTAAAAAAAAAATTGCTACCTTCTTAAGTAACCATGTGAATTTTGTGGTGTTGTGTAGTGGCTGGCTTAGTACCATAAAGCTTTGTTTGTAATGCAGTTCTCTTCGACAGGGTAACACAGACTTATGATGCAGGTGCATGTGTCTACTTCTACTTTGCCTTTAACTACAGAGGAATTAGTGATCCTATTCATGTCTATGAACAAATTGAGGTAATGTATATAACAATAGTTAAGGGGCGGGGAGAAGCTGATATTCTGTAATAACATATAGTAAAGCCATTGGCTAAGCTAACTGAATTTTGCAGGGAAGATCTCAAAAGTCTGTTTGTAAAGCTGTGATCATTAGCATCTGGGGAGGGAGGTGCACACGTAGTAGTGTGCAAGTAGAGGAAAGACTGCAAGGTGACTATTTTAGACATCAGTAAATCAACACTTATGACTAAAGTACAGGAAAACTTGAACTGGAGTTTGTTCTTGGATGGCAGAAACTATCAACCACAAAACCCAAATCCATGGGAAACAAGACTTCCTTAGTTCCATTATTTACAAAGCTACTTCTTTCACTTAATACTCAGTCTTTAAAATACATGGTAAAACTATCAGGACCATACTTTATTAGTAGTGCTGCATGTAGAGAATAATGAATGTGAGTATGTCTCTCATGCTATTAACTTCTGTGGTTATTTCTGTTCAGGCCTAGATAAGTGCTGGTCTAAGTCAGCTGTATTATATGTAAGCTGCTTCAACACTTACCAAGAAGCTCTGGAATAACTCTGCTTTAAACACTTTGGCTGGTGCCACACTGTACTTGCCTAGTTAGGGGAAACTAATCTCCTCATTGCCTTGAAGATGTAATACTTAAACAAAGAATGACTATGGCCAAACTCCTTTACATCCTACCTTTTGATTCATATGCTAAAGCTTCAGCACCAGAGAATTGCTAATAGGACTGTGGAGGAATAGTCTATATTTAACTAGGATATCATTCTTATGATTATTCTTCAGAAATTTCTCTTGAACTTGGCAAGAGGATGTAAACTTTTATCTACAAGTTCTGAGGCTTCTGTGCTGTTGAATCTAGGGTATTGGAGAATGTAATACTTGAATGTTCATTTAATGAAACTTCATTAATACTTAGATTTTACCATTGTTTGGGATTAGTTTGCAATGTGATCACCTGGATGCATGTGTTCCATTGTAGGTGACTAAACTTAATCTAACAAAGTGAGTTTGCCAACCAAGTATATGCACTCTGTGGCAGACTGAAAAAATCTGTAACTGCATAGGTATGGCTATATACATTATTCCTAAAAAAGTACACTTTTTTCAAAACATTTAGTGCTTGACCTTAGGAAAGCTTTCTTTGTTACAACCTTCTAAGCTGTTTAACTATTCATAATCAGAGATGGATTGGAAAGAAGATTCTAGAGCTTGAAAATGTTCAAATATTTCCTAACATAAAAATCTAACCTTCGTTCATTCTGTCACAAACTTCACACATGAAAGACTTTACTTGTAAAGTACCTCACTTCCTCAACTAGAATCTTGGAGAACTGGGCCTAAACTCTGGTCTGAATAAGGATCTTGAATCACCCTGGGGAGCCTGTTTTCAAACGCCTTTATTACGATTTCCTTCTCCGTAGACAGTCTTCCAGATGAGCATCCCAGCCACTAGACAATTTTAGTTTTGGCAAGGGGAGTGTGATCCAGTGCATTCCATTCTGGAATAATAGATTTGTAACAGATGCCATTTTAAATGTCTTGGCTTTGATAATGCTTATTTGGAAAATGTCCACTTACATTTATCTGCAGACTTGAACAAAAATGCTTACCTGTATTGTGTACCCTAATTACTTCTGAGACTTTTCATGCACCTATGTAAATGAGTATGATGGCAAGCATTTCACTAAAAACAAACATCTTGTGCATTTGCTGTTGAATAAATACCTTATCTTTCCAATTTAGAGGGCTGCTAGAGAAGAAATACTTGCCAATGGAGGAAGTCTGTCACATCATCATGGAGGTAATATTCTCAGTCTAATATTAGTCTCTTTGAAACTGCTAAATATTCATGAGTGCATAAAATACTTTGTAATAGAACTTCAAAAAATATTTCACAGGCATTAACTGAAATTGGTGGGGGCTGTGAATTTCCTGGCATTCTTTCTAGAAGCTTCTCACCTGTTTGCCAGACTTTCAGGGGAAGTGTTGCTAGGCCTGGTGTGAGTGATATAAATACACCACACTGTGTGACTTGACGAGCACCTGCTTCAAACCTTTGATAAGAAGTCTACAGGCTCTCTGAGAACCTGAAAATGTAATTGATTAGTTTGTATTGAGCAACTTCTGCTCAGTTGCGGAAGTATATTCAGTTATAAACACCTCAAATGAGAGTTTCACAGTTTTAAGATAGTTTAGGGTCCCTTGTGACTAGGTGAATGCTGTTAAGCCTTAATTCTGGAGCACTTAGTGAAAGTACCTGGGTGAAAGAGCTAGTGATTTTAAACTGGGCATGTTGCATAATTGATGTCATTGTAAGTATTGATATTACTGGCTTGCTGTCTGCTAACTTCTGATTAATCAGTTTCCTTTCTTGGGAGTTTGGGAATTACTTGTCCTGAGCAATGTCCTGCTTTAGCAATATCAGGATATTGAAGGATGTGTAGGTGATGATAACATAGCCTCTTTGCAAGCTATTTTGTGCTTTAATATTAAGGTTTAAGAACCAATGTCATGTATAAGTGATACTTCATGGAATCATTAAGGCTGGAAAAGACCTCCAAGATCATCAAATCCAACTGTCAACCCAACACCACCATGCCTGCTAAACCATGTCATGAAGTGCCATGTCTACAAGTTTCTTGAACGCTTCCAGGGATGGTGACTCCACCACCTCTCTGGGCAGCCTGTTCCAATGCTTGACCACTCTTTCAGTAAAGAAATTTTTCCTAATATCCAATTGAAACCTCCCCCAATGCAACTTGAGGCCATTTCCTCATGTCCTATCACTTCATATACCTGATGCTTTACATAATGCCTTTCCCACATATTCATATAGCCTAATTTGATTGCATGTGTCCTATATAATGCTGTAAGCCCTGATGTCAGGAAGACTTGTGAAGTTCAGTTTGATTTGTGTAGCTAGCTTCTTTAAACTGGTTAACGCGTTTCTTCTCTATACTCTCTTGGGGCATTGTCTGGCCACAGAAATAAGCAAAGAAGAAAGTCTAACAGTTTGAAACTAGATAAAAACTTTGTAATTCTAAGAAAGCTCTGTGTGGGGAAAACTGAAGGGCAGAAACTGTGCTTTAAAATATATTGGTGACTTCCTGGACTTGAAACTTTTAGCTAGGGCTGTTTTCAGGCATGTAGCTTTGTGATAGAAACTGAAATGGACTCTGCTTTAGCAATATCACGATACTGAAAGATATGTAGGCGATAACATGAGTGAAACCAGTTTCTGTATCTTTTGTTTAATATGCTGTTATTGTCCTCTGATTAAATCTCTAATATGGTGGTATAATGGACTGGTCAATTCTTGCACATGGGATGTGGAATTACCCCCTTGATGCACTATTGTGCTCTCCCCTGCTGTGGCAGCTGTATTTTACTGTGACTAGCATTTCATCCATTAACTCACATGCAGCTGGAGCTTGTCACATGTTTGGTTTGCCCTCACCATATGAAACCTTGCTTACAGCATATGTTGAACAAGAAAAAAAAAACATGTAGCATTTTCAAACCCTTGCACACTTGACATTTCTAACTCCAGATATGGAAAACTTGGGTTTTGTTAGACTACTTATGCTCTTTCTGTGTGCCTTGACTGCCTTTTATACTGATATATATTTTCTCTTTGAGTATTTTTATCTGGCAGTTCATTGTGTGTGATAAGACCCTTTTTTTTCCGATGCTTAGTAGATGTGCTGCTGAGAATTAGCCTAATAGTTCTATTTACTGACCTTCAGGCCTTGTCACTCTTAGCACTGCTAAGACTGGTCTATTGTGTGGGGTAAAAGAAAATACTGGTACAATTTCTTTTAGTATTTGTCTTGTAATTGTGATTAATAACAGTTGTTTTCACTATCTGGAAACAGACAGGCTGGTTTGTCTGCCTACAATCACACTGTGATAAATGGAGCTATTTTAAGTCTGGTTTTGTGTATCAAAGAAAACAGATGTAGTCTGGGTCTTGAGGCTATAGGAAATACAAAGCCTGCTTAAGTCAATCTTCATACACTCCTTGAGTGAAGAAGTGGTCATATATGACAGTTTGAGATGTGTAAAGCTCTGAATTAGTTTATATCTGGGGAAGTACTAACTGCAGGTAGACACATAGCTATAGTCTACAGTGAGAACTGAAATCATATACTTTTAATTTTATGAAGGGTAACTTCAGAAAGACTTCACTTTCAATTCTATTTTAATCTCAATATCTCTTCTCTCCTCCCCTCCCTCCAGACTAATGAAAAATATTGTAACCTTTAGGCAAGACTCACTAAAGGTAGCAATACTGTGAGAAGATCCCCCCAATGACTTTTGAGACTTAAAACTTCTAAGCAGCATAACTTTTATTTGTTAGTGGATTACATTAAAGATCATACCTTGCAATATGTAACAACAACAACATTCCAACAAAGAAATTGCAGAAGTGTATCAATATGGGCCTTGTACAGCAAGCATTTCATGTGCACAAGAAGCTGTAGCAAAGCCAGATGTACACATCTGTGCAATGAATTTGTCCTTTCAATGTAACAATTACTTGTATTTTGGGTTAGAACATATGGATTTCTTGTTTTTATAAATCTGGATATAATTTCTATGGTGCTGCAACTTCAATGGCTTTGTCCTTTTAATCAAATTGCCCTTTTTGAAGTCGTTCTCGCTCTTTACTTTCAAACATTTAAACCTAATTGGTAAGTGTCAGGAATGGCTTTCCTACTTTAATGTTAGGATTTAACACTTGATAATGTTTCTGGATTATGTAATTAACACTGTTTACATTAAGGAAGAATCTGAGACTTAGGTGTATTTTTATAGCAACACATATAATACATAGCTGTGATCAGATAGGCACTTCTTACCTAGGGGGGACTTCAGCCGTTCTCCAGTGCATCAGGAACTGATTCTTATAGAGGAGGTTATCAGCTTTTGATCCTGACAGTTTGTCTAAATGTGGTAGGTCTGTTTCTCAGTAAATTTGTGGTGAACAAACTGCTGAAAAGCTTCTTAGTGTTTTAAAGTGGTTTTTAATGTGTGACTTTGAAGTGGTTTATTATGCCTTTTGTCCCTTTTAACTAATGCTGTGACATAATTTGTGGCTTAGTAAAAGTTTTTGAAAGGTATTTGGGAATTAGATATCGTAGTCGTAGCATTCATTGTCTTCACTTCCTCCATGAGATTTAACAGTCTTGATTATAGTTTTTTGCCTTGCCTTGACAATGTCGTACTCTTAGAAAGGAACAGTGCACACCTTCAAACACAGCTTTGATCCTTCTGCTTTTCTGGCCAGTGAGTATCTTTAGATTTGAGTCGTGTAAGTAAGGGTTGCTAGAGCCACAGTTAGCTTCTAGAAACTTAACATTTAAAAAGCAGCATTAGGAATGACAATTTCTTGTAGAAACATGTTTAAGTTTAGTTAAATGATTATTCTAATAATTTAGGGCAAGCCCTGAAACTACCCCTATGATGTGTCACACCTTGCATTCTTGAATTCCTGTTTCATAAAATACGTGTTTTTCTTATATACATAAAATAACACGTGCTGAGGAAGGATCAGTAGGTACAACTGGTGTATAAATAAAACTATAGCCCCTTTGGGGTACAGCATCAGAAGGGAGCTGGCTTGATTTGGGCGTGATCCCTTCTGTATTACAAAGCTAGACACCCATGTAAAACTAAGGAACAGTGTAAAAATTAATGATAGATTGCTTCCCTTGCAGGGAATGTTCTAACTAAACCTGGTTACTTAAGGAAACAATTACCAGCTTGTGGGTTTGAGGAAAATACCCCCATTTAGCCACTTAAGGTAATAGAACTAATTTTCTTCTGCTTTCTAGACAGTTTGACTAGAATAAAGGTTAACACAGCCCAGGCTCCACAGGTTTAGGTATAGTATCAATTTCCTGGCAGTTTATGTAGGAAAACTTAAAAAAAACCAAACCAAAACCCAATAACAAAAAATCCACAAAAACCAAACCCACCCCTCTGCAAAACCCCCTAAACACCAAAAAACCCCCCATAAACCCCACACCTTATTTGCATTCAATTACATATTTGACATTGCAATTCTTTAGGATCATTAAGAGGCTGTAGTTTCAGCTATACACTGCAGTAACTAACCCACACAAACTACGGAATCTGGAATTATAAAATTCCCTTATGGGGGAGTTGAACACATTCTTTTCTCCTCTACACAGGAAAAGTATCTTACCTTTAAGTTAAGTGCTGGAGATTGATCATACTTTCATCTTAAAACTAGAGCTTCCTCTACTGGTTAGAATGAGTTTAAACTGACATTTGTCAGACATAGATTAACCTTATATGAATATAATAATGCAGTTGCATTTTCCTCCTTGGTCTGTTGAAGTCTTTTAATAGAATAATCACCTTCGGTGCCTTTTCCACCAAATGAATGCAAAGGGCTTTCTGATTCATCAACACAGAGCTTGAGAGTACTTCAGTTTAGATATCAAGTGAAAATGCGCAAGATGTTACAGTGATGGTAAGTGTTAATTATGTAGCAGACTTCAGGTGTAGTGGTACTATATTCTCCAGCACTACCACAGTATTAGATTAATGCTGTGACCTCTCTCAGTATTGCAGGATTCTCTCTGGAAGAGTAACAACCTGTTAAGCAATTTCTGAGAGCAGAGAGATGCTTTCTGTAGAGACAACCAGCTTCAGGAAGAGCATGTAACAGCTGGGAGAGCCCCATCTTTCTTATGACCTGTTACAGCTTCTCCTTCTGCAGAGCTGTTGTTCTGCAATAACTGCCCCTCTGAGTTGGAGGGGCTGGAGCAGAGACAGTCTAGGGCCATGTGCAGTGCCACTAGAGCCTATTTCCACTGGGACCACACTGCTATAAATTTTCCTGCATGGGTGTAGAGTTATTCCTGGGATCCATCAGCTACACTAAAACTTTCCTTACAAGGCTGTGTGCCCATGTACTTCATATTCCAAAAGTGAGAAAACAAATTGCTGCCTGCTATTTGCTAGTTCCATCCTTAGCAGCCAGATTTTTTTGCAGCCATCCAGATGCATCTTCAAAGATGAGCAAGTGTAGCTTTTATGAGCCAGGAGAACTGTACCCCCATTTTATCATCTTTGTGGCCAGTGGGTATGTGCTGGCCATGTAATGCACTGCTCTTTGAAAAACCATGTGCATGGGAAACTGCTCTCACTTTTTGGCAGTGATTGTACATCAGTGCATGTTTGCTTGGTTGGTTTTTTCAAAGGGTGGGTGTTTTTCTTTAACACACGGACTATAATGAAAATAATACTGTAAAAATAGAATTGATGTTGGACTGTCTTTGAGAGTTGCTAATGAACAAGCTTCTTGTCTTTCTGGTTTGAAGTACTTTGTGTGAAGTAGACTCTGTCATGCTAGGGTGTTTGTACTCTATGTAACAGGCTGCGCTTCAGCTTGAAGACTTCTGGCTTCCTAGCAGTGAATGTTTTAAGGAATTAGACTGCTCAGCATGCCTCAGGAACAGGGGCACTTGCCACTTGTAAACTTGAAAAGTAATTCTGTCACATTTCATCTTGGATAATTAAGATGCAAGCTAAGGTGTCTTCAGAGAAAGAAGATACAAGAAGGAAGGGCCATATTTGTTTCCAGTTGGGGCAAGAAGGATTGTGTATGTAATGGTGTGTATAGCTGAGTTGACAAACAGTGACTTGTTAGGCTACTACAGTTTGATTGTACAGTGTTATGCTGATTTGAGAATCTTATTAATAATATTATGATGTAGCATATAGAATCAGGTGAATTTGATCTCAGTTTTTAATTGATAAAAAAGTGGCAGATGCTTGGATAAAATCTGTCTGTTGTCACATGTCAGTTATGTATAAATGGCATCATCTAGGCCTGAAGCTTTTAAAATGTCTGCTTTCTCTAGGCTAGCAACAAAGATAGTTTTCTCTAGTCCATAGTAAGATCAGGCTTAACTGAGACCTTTTATTGTTGGGGAAGTTAAGGCTTCCTTGAGCCTAAAGCTGTTCTTTGGCTAGGCTTAGAGTGGAGTTAAGCAACTTTGTCACTTGGAATTATTTTTACATTCATGGTAACATCTTCTACTGTTATGGCATTTTCATCCTCCTCTTCCCTTCTCATCCTTGAAGCTAACTTGATTGTCCTATGGAGGAGAAGCAGAATACTTACAGGGCAGCACTAACCTGAAGTGAAACAAATGCAGGCATTGCTTTTCTAGGTGGTGCTCTCATCTGCACAGAGCCTTTCCTTCACTTGGTCTATTTTCCACTTAATCAGATGGACCAGCTTAGAATTCTAAGAGTAAGATTGCTTCAGTGCTTTTTAACTCTAATGTGAAAATTTGAGTAGCTGAAAAATCAGAGTATATCTTATTGACATGAATAGTAGGAGCAGGGGCTCAACCTGCTGTTATTAAGGGGTTAAAATATTTTCATTGAACATGTTTGTGAAGGACTGCTGGTAACTGTAGTACAGCTTTTTTTCTTTCCAGTTCACTAATCAAATGTATGTTAGATTTATTATTGCAAAAGTATAAACCAGAGAAAATTTGACAAGATAGATGTGTAAATTATCACTTTGACAGAACTAATGATGCACTCCAAGCACCTTCTGTTTTCCAGCACTTGGTGAGCGACTTCATTAAATATGCAACGACTGTTTGGTGCTGCTCAGACAGTAGTTCAGTTCCTTGTGGAATTGCGTTATTACTGGAGGTGTAAAAGAGGCAGGCATGCTAGCTGTTGGGCATCCTGCTGTGATTCTAATGTGCTCCATCTTGTTGGAGCAGTTGTTTGCAGTCTTTTCAGGACAATTACATCCATAACCACAGGACACATTCACTGAAACTATATTACAGATAACAGTTGAGAATGGTAATGACTGTTCTTCAGCTGCTTCTGCAAGAGCCAGTGCGAGTGACTTGAGGTGATGGTCAAGCCACATCCATGCTTGGGGTTTTTTTGTAGTTGTAGTATTAAAGTATCCCCAGATAAAATTTGACTACATCAATTTGCTCAGACAGTCAAATTGTAGTGGTGCTGTATTTACAGATGGGGATTCTTTTTCCTGAGCTGGGCTGCAAAATACAACCACAGTTCCTACCACATGACAAATTCTTTTGTCCTTCAGTTATGATCTTTGCTCTTGACATGTGTGCTGCTAATAGTTGCTTTCTAGCAAACTGCAAATTTCATTCTTTTTCATCTTACTTGCTTTTTCAGTTGGCATTGTGACTAGCTCATATTCCTTAAGGTATAAACAAATATACTCTGTTCTCCAGAGGTGTCCCTGTAATTTATTATTTTGATGGCAGTTTGATGGTTACCCTGAGAACAGGGCACAAAAGATGGCTTGAATTTAGCTTCAGATACTCTTAAAGCATCTGTCTCTCAAACCTTTACTATATCGCATCATACTGACAAATGGATTGTGTTTCAGGCTGACAAGTTAAATGCTGTAGTGTGTTTAATGAAAAAATGTCCTTTATTTTGAATGATCTGTTAAATCAGAGTTTATGACTTGGTTAATTAGTATGTGAACACTCGGCCATTTAACAGGACTATTGTGAGACCAGTGAAATGAGTTCTTAAATGGCTGGTGTCTCAGCTTTGCGTTGTATTTGGTATATGTCATGAATATCCATTTTTACATGGGAAACTAAGCTCTTGTGTAATGGTGTGAGCAATTACCAGCCCATGTAAAAGTTTCCAAATGAAATAAAGTATTTTGTTAATTTAAAACTAGGCTTTAAGCCTTTTCTTTACAAAACAATTTTTTGCTGTTTAAACCAGTACTAAGTTATGTTTTCACTTTCAAGTAATTAAGGGGTGTGGGGTTCCACTTTTTAGTAATTGCCTCTTCAGTTCCCTACTTAAAATGAGTTTGGCTTTTTAAAACTTACTTCCAGCTCCCTATTCTAATAGAACATGTGATTTCAGCCTAAGCTTCATCTAAATTTCATAGTTTCTAAAGAAAGTAGACAGTGTGGAACACAGTCTTCCTCTGGGAGTATGCTGAGCTTAATGAGCTTGATAGTCTGGTGGGCTCAATAAATCAAATAAAGCAAAACATTTCTCATTTTTGAATAAAAGCATTTATCACACAGTGTTTATTCATTCATGGTCACAAGATTGATTGGCTCCTAGAATCCTGCCATATATTGAAACACTTTGTTTTTGTTTTTCCAGTAGGCAAATTGCGGAAGCGCTGGATGAAGGAGAGCATCTCTGATGTTGGCCTGGGAATGCTGAGATCTGTTAAAGAATATGTGGACCCCAATAACATCTTTGGAAACAAAAATCTTTTATAAAGCCCTGCACAACATGATGTACTAAAACTTCTTCAAAATTACTGTTGAAATTCCTCCATTTTCATTGTACTGATATCCCAGTAATCAAATATAACATAGACTAAACTTTAAAAACTAGAAACTTCCATTGATTTTTTTTTTTTGCCACCCCCTTCCCCCTCCCCCAATAAAGTGTAAACATCACTGTTAATGTTTATGGATTGTTACTTACAATGCTCTTGAACTCTTAAACAACCCACTGAGCACAAAGTGTATAACCAACCAGGAAATGCAAATTTAGTTTTCCAAGTTTGGTTAGGCAACACAGCTGACAGTATTTTCAATGCTGGATACTGCCAGATGTTTCTTACTAAAGCATCCCCTGCAAGGAGAACAAAGACTGACAACAGTGTTTTCTACAGAAGCAGCTGCTCAACCCAGCCTCTTGCTAAAGGAAAGCTGCTAGGAGACAGATGAGAGAACACCAAGGAGTACTTCACTGTGCTGAAGGATTAAGTATGTAACAGACTTGTAACCAGCAAGTACTTCAAGTACAAGTGTAGGCTTTGATCAAAAGAGACAATGTAAGTTAAACTACTTCCAAAAACTCAGTAGTCTCCCACCATAATACTATTGGAAAGTCTTACACACTCAAACTGTTCTGAGTTGTATTTGCATTGCTGGGATAATCTTAAATTAATTGTAGGTCAGTCACTATAAGTTTTGTACAATGGACATTTCTCACTGTATGTTGAAAACAGGTTTGTAACAAAACTCTGCCTTCATCTGTATTTCAGTCCTAGTGTATATGGTTTTTGCTCCTGTTTTGTTTGTTTTGCAGAGATGCAAAATATCTTTTTCGGTTAAAAAAAAAAAATGTTTTGGCTATTCAAATGAAACTGCCCAGCACTGTCTTTTGAAACAGTCTCAACAGTTTATTACAACACCTAAGTGGACAACATACCATCATCCTGAAAGTAAGATTTCCCATCTTAGTTTTGTACAGTTTCCTATGGCCTTATGAATAATTTACTTCACTAGTAGCCACAACTTTAATTGTCCATTTAACTTTAAGAAAAAGAAATATTTTCGTGATCAGTATCGTATGAGAGTAAGCATTTTTACATTGAAACTTGAATCTTAATCAGTAAAACAAACTAAAAGTATTTGTCAATACTCATGATCCATTTTTAAGGTGGGTTCTTTTCTTAAAGTAAATTATCCAACTTTTTGATAATTAATGTATAATTGCATAGGATAGAGAAAATACAGACTATCCTTTGAGGACATTGTCTCTAGCCAACTGCTTCACAGCTCTGTAGTGTCAGTTTGGACACCTTTTGTATTGGTAGTGCCCTTAATGAGGAGAAAAAGATAAAATTTCATTCTTGTTTTTAAACTATTTTAGAATACTGTCTAATTAGCTCTCTGTTTTGGTAATGTACCAAAAAGTGTATAAAATGCTTGAAAAATACTGCATATCAGACAACTATGAACTTGTTTAAAGATTAATTTCAATTCTGTAATTAAAATGATCAGAAAACATGAACACTCAAAACATCACTTGAAAATGCATGCTGTCAAGGTACTTAGGGAAAACTGCAGGTCATAAACCAGAATGCTAATACGATATTTGCAGTGCAGCTAGATTTATTTCAAATGGTCTTTGTTTCACAACATTTCACCATAAAAATTTACTCTTGTATTTTTGTGTTTTGGCCCTCTCAGTTCAGATTTCAGCAGCAACCAAAACAATAGGTGTAGTCTGATTTAGGAAAGTTACTCGTCCCTCTGTGGTTAAGTGTTCCTTAAGTACCCCATGGTGTCCTAAAGTGAATCTGTACATGTTAATGCAGGGGATGTCATCCTGCATGCTGCACAACGGTGACTACATGGCCCCAGCTGGCATCTTGCTGATGACTTGTATCACTGAAATAGGGACCTTTCTAGGAGTTGGTAAATATGAAGGGGGAATATGGAGGGTGTTTATGTGCCTCAGTGAAAGTATATGTCTAACTATGAAGAATCAGTTTTGAAGGAAAGTATGTGAAGCCTTTTTTGCAGAATGACAGCACAAACAGAATTAAAACAAGTAGTCACAGCTCTGTAATAACTGCGCTCTCAAGATTTTGACTTAAATTACTGAACAACTCTGCAACATTCTTCACAATTCTTAATTTTCTGACTGGCTTACCCATCCCTTTTTTGTATTGAAATTACACATGCAAAAATTCCTTATATTCTACATTTCTAACCTTTAAATAGCCACTGGCTTCTGAAGTGATTTAAAATGCAGTAAACATTTTTACTGCATGTCAGTTGTCCTAGGGGAAGGTGAAATAACAGGCTATAAGGGGCCCAAAGCAATGTCACTGGATAGCCCTGAGGAAAAGATTAACTACAACTGTAATGGATATTTTTTTCTAATGACCACCCTTATTGCTGTCTTCCTAAATATTTTTCTATCTTATGAACTGGTCAGAGCTTAGTGAAACTGCAGTTGAAACACATGTATTACTGACTGTCTTTAATGTCACATTTAAATTCCTAATGAAAACAGAGAAAAGTGTAATGCAAGTTCAGGAGGCCTAGATACACACATATCATTACCCATTTAAAATAAATCTTCCCCTCTAATACTAAAGTCTTCTACCACTCTTCCTTCTGTGTTCTCTGCGTTATAAAGACTTCACTTCCCATAGCTGCAGCCTGTTCAGAGATGGAGTTTGATCCATGCAGATCAGAAGTGTATCTAGGCATAACAGATTACTTTTTCATTTGCTTGAATATTTTGGCCAAGTGTAAGTTACAAGCAGTTTTAATTAAGCTTGTTGTGACTTCCGATTGCACAGCTTTTGCTCTCTTTGAGGGAGGAGAGGTGCAGAGTGAGTATGGCTTGACTGCAAAATGTATTTACATTAGAGAGACTTCTATGAAAGTTCTGAGGGGAAAGAAGAAAATCTGTTAGAAATTGGTCCAGGGGTCTAAATCTTACACTCAAAGAAAAACATGTCTCTTCCTGACTTGACTTACAGTATATTGGTTGAGTTAGAGATGTCATCTTTGCCTTACAGCTATGAACAGAGGCCGGGCCAAATAGTTCTTCCTTAGCAATGTTAATTAACTGAAACCAATTTCAAAGGCAGGGATACATTAGCACTGAAATCCAGAAAACACAAATTGCTTCTCAATCTTGGAAATGTATGTTTATCAAGGTTGTAATTTAACTTTCTGCAAATAAAGCCAAACAGTGTTTGTCATTTTAGTGTGAGATTAACTGTAAAACTTCAGTTGTAATGTTAAGAGATTATAGAACCTTATATTATTAATAAAAAGAAAATGGGCCTAAACAATTATGTGGTTTTGTGCTGAAACTAAACAAATAGATTCTACTAACTTATATCTTTGGTTTATTTTAATTTGGCAGTGAGCTCTTACCTAAGGAAAATTTAGGAAGGAAAACTATTAGGAAGGCTTTGGTACTTGCAGAGAGAAGTGAGACTGAGTTTGTAAATGTATGCTAATAGAAGCTCTGCTCCTTCTGCATCTAGGAAAATGAGAGAATATCAGCAAAAGAAGGGCAAAACAACACCTGAACACCAGTCTACTCAGTTCAGAAATTTCATCTCCTCAGTATTTCCTGTTTGGGCAGCAAGGGGACTGTGTTCAGATGCTTAAGGTTCTATGTACAAGAATGCACTGTGTGTGAGCAGAAGAGGTATTTCTCTCATATCTGCATTATTGCTATAAAGCCTTTATGCTCTTTAAGCTAAAATGGCTGAAATTGCATCTTGCTTGAAAGAGCTGTTAAATTGTCTTATGTTGATACAGTTTCTTCAATTAATATTATTCAAAAACTGCAAAAGTCATAGCATGCAGGGGACAGGAGAAGTAATGACATGGTTTAATTTGTAGAACTGTGACCATTTTTCAATATTATCCAAATTTTTTTGTGTGCTTGTTCACAGGAAGGAGGAAACTACCGGATAGTCAAGCATTTTATTTGTGTTTCCCTTCTATTAAAAGCATAAAAATGCAGTGTTTTTACTTAGATCTAGATAGTCTTAATTTGAAGGAGATCTTAGATGATTATATACTCGTCTCAGGATGACAACCAGATCCCATCAGTGTTCCCTTTGTTTAAAATAAGTAACTTTTTATAAAAGTTGGGCCTGAGCTTGCAGCTGTGTAAATACTATAGGCTCACTGTTTATGGTTTTGTAGTCCCAACACTGTTGGAGACCAGAATTGGCAGGTGGTTGCTTTGTTCACGATCAGCTTTAAGGTCTGCCGTAGTGCTCAAGAGCAGAGGCGGTCAAAGATATTTTTCAAAGGTGTTTGCCATATTATCTGTTAAAACTACTAGTGCTGTCATTTTGAGATTATAAATTCAGTTTCAAAAATATGTGGGATATAATACTTTACATCTTGTTACTTGCGCTATTTACAAATACAAGTTGCAATAATAGGTACCTCTACTACAATGCTGTGAAATATTTAATTTAGGAATTCATTTTTGCACTTTGGAAAACAAAGCATTGGACTCTTTATGGGAAACTTTCTGAATGTTTCATTTTGATTCAGAATAAAGCTAAATTTGTTTCGACGGGTTGTTCAGAAACTCCACTATAATGTTCGTATTTGAGAAGCATTTGGCCTTTTTCTACCTTCATGGTAGTATGCAGTAGTCCCCAAGTATGGGGACGTAGAAGCTTTTAAATGGATTTCTTTATTGTGGTGCTATAAAGTATCATAGCAGCCTTCTAAAGGGTAAAATGGAAGTGTTCATCACAGCAATGAATTTGTAAGTGTTCAAAAAGATGATGGACAAAACCCTATGATGTGATTTATGTAAAGTTTAAGCTGATGCTTCTAGGACTTCAGATCAAATTAGGAAACAAGTGAAAAATTATTTTGATTAAAACCCACATTTAAAAATTAAACTGTATTTCTAATGATGAAGAATGTCAAATGATAGTCACAACTTTGCAGTTCAGTATGGCGTGGCTTGTCCTAGCATGGCTTGCCTCCCACGGTGCTTCTACAAAGCAAAGTAGACAATGGATGGTCTCAGGACAGAGCCTTGATAACACCACTCCTGTTTCAGGTTGCTGGAAGGGCTTGGCTCTATTCCCATGGGTAACATAGGCACTGAGCACGTGGATATCTGGCTTTGCTATTGCACCAGTCAGTGCCAGCTCAGCAACCTAATATTCAAAGCAGTTTGAAGGCAACCAGTGGCATGGATGTTATGTACTCAAATGTAAGTTCAGCAAACACTGAAAACATAAAAGGGCAATGTGATAAGCTTGGCTATTCATAAATCAGTTATCAATAGTGGCATTGATAAATGCAATCTTGACGAGGCGCAAGCCTGAGGATGTGGGAGTAATGAGAAGGACCAAACACAGCCGCTGACCTTGCTCCCTCCCAGCCTGTGGCAGCAGCCAGCACTGTTTCCTGTCTCCCTCTGTTCCTGCTGCTGCCGAGCAGGAAATCCTGGCTGCCCAGAGGCAAGGGTTAAAAGCCCTTCTGAAACATGAAGTGACACACATGCTCACCTAGCAAATACATAGCAGCTGGGTAAATACATGTAGAGATGAGGCCATAAAAGCTGGTCATTAAGGAAAGTAAATCTGGCTAATGTTAGAAAGCAAATGTAAGGAAGGCGTGGGTGAGCTGAATGCTGTGTGAAACTCTCAGGTTTAGAATGACATGCGTTGACAAGACTTGGGTATGATACTGACCACGCTGTGGGCTTAGAGCATAGTCCCGGGTGTATTTGAAGTTTGTTCCTTTACTTGCTTAAGACAGAATTCTGGGTTTAGCCTAATTTGCTCGGGAAACAAAGCAAACGCAACCTCTCTGCTGCTTAGTTTGCTCCTCATTCTTTTCCCTTCGTCTCCACCAAAGCTTTTGAACTTCATGGACAGCTTTAGCCAAACTCAACCAAGATAGAAGCCTCAATGCATTAAATTCTTGCAGGTGTTTGTGGAAAATACCAACTATAATTTGGGCTGGCAAGAAAGATAAAAGCTGAAATGTCAGTTCAACCTTTGTTAATACCAGAGAACCCATGCAGTAAAAATCCAAATGTTAGTTGGGGTAGGTACATCAACTTCAGATGTCAGCGTGCTGTGCCTTGCAGTTCATCTTGGACCCTTAAAATACTTTGATGAGTGGGTCAGCCGTGAGGCAAGCCAGCCTTTTTAGTGCTGCTGCTTCTGGAAGTACAGGGCAATGCTGTTCTCCCAGTCAGGTTTGTTTGTTTTTATTAAAATTTTCTTAATAAATGAAGGTTTTGTTTTTCTCTGTTCATGCTTGTAACTACGTTATGCCCAAGTTCTCAGCTGTGCTCAGCTTTACAGGTTAGCATATTCTAGCGCAGGAACATGAAGAACGGAAGCTGCTGGCTTCCTTGAGACAGTATTGGAGCTCAGTTTATACATGCAGGAGTGCCTCAAATGGATTGTAGTTGGTAGCCTTCCTAAGAGGTGAGATCCCTTTAAAGCACAGCATTAAAAACAGTCTGCAGGGAACAAGAACAAGCTGTGAAAAGGGGCTGGGGAGGGAGAAGGGGAAAGACAAAAGGTGTTGGAAGAAGACAGCAATAAGCTGGGTCTGTGTGTGTGTTAACAAAGTCCTCACCATTCTCCTAAAGAAGAGTTGCTCTGGCTTTACAAGCATGGAGTCCTTCCACATTGTTGCACAGCATGTGGTTGAGGAAGCAGGGGTTACTGTTTTAGATGGAGGAGATGAGTGACTGCTGCCTGAGGGGCCATGGAGAAAGGCTTTTGCGAAGGCTTTTTTACTCCTGTGTAGCGCGAAGGTTAGCATCGCAACATGGAACGCAGAGGCTGTCCGTCTGCAAAGCTTCAGCAGGCAGCACAGCCCATCAGCACGCTTAATAAAAACTTCTTTGTACAACTTTACCTGTCTGTTGCATGACTTATTGCTAATGAAATAGTGACCAGGAAGCAAAGAGAATTGCTAACGGGGAAAACAGAGCAAGGGCAGCACAAGCCAGTGTCTTGTGTGTATGGCTAAATTACTCTGAAATGAACATCTGGCAGCAACAGCCAGGCAGAAGGGACCTAGTTGCTATAGAGAAACGATAAATTTAGGACCATAACAGATCTGCTGCCTTGGTTACAATTTAGTGCTTTTTTAAGGCCGATGAGAGGAAATCACTATCTCTTCATTTGTAGAGCTTTGTGCTGCTCTGCGGACATGAATAAAACATGACATTATTTCCTGTTCTTTTCAGTAGCTCATGTAAGACTCCCCTACGTATCTGGGCTTGAGTAGTCAGCATTCAGGTGTTTACAGCCAAGCATTTGTGGGCCAGCCTGCTCAGCCATGCTACAGTGCTTTGGGTCCTTCCACCCAACCTCTATGACAGTGATCATGATTTACATTTCTAAAACCAGGATTATCCCTGTGGCTGTTGCAGAAAGGATAGGCCGATTATTATCTGCTCCTTCAAAAAAAATAGTAGAAGAGCAAAAGTGTTGCTTTAGTCTTCTTTTCTTTTGTTTGTTTTAAAACCACATGCTGATATGCTACAGCTGCAGACCAGTCAGCACACAGGAAAGTTAAAACAGCTGTGAGTGGTAGGGTAGGGAACCTTGTGATGAATGATGCATTTGTAATGAGTTGCACAATTGCAGAGACACTATAGCAATCAGCAAGACCTTCAGCAGCCAGAGCACAAGTACTGACCACCGAAGTTAAATGCAAATTCCCTTAACAGCCAGCTAAGCAGGTTTATGAACACAAGGACTAGTGTCTAGGAGTAATCGTGCTTGCATCCATTAACCTCTGCATGCGGAGCTGTGTGTTGGGTGCTGATGCTTAGCGTCTTGAATCGTAACTGTGATGTTACACTTCTGCTGTGAGTGTGAACGATGGGATTTACTCGTTGCTTGCAAATAAGCTCATTAGAAACAAAATGGCTGTGTGTGCTGGCTTCCTCAGAAGGTGGCTGGGGAGCCACATGCCAAGACAGCAGAGGTTTGCTGATCTCCCACCAGGCCGGACGGCCGGACTCGCGTGGGTGTTCAACACAGGGAGAGCTTAGCTGCTTCACAAGGGCTGTTTTCATTCTCTGCGTTTGCAAATGCCTGCCATTTTGTTCCAGATAGACTTTCCTTGCTCTGGCTGTGTATGTTCTAGTCCTGAGAGAGGCAGCTTTGTCCTTCACGTGGTTTCCAGCCCTGCCTGAGCCTGCCTTCGCCATGTTGTGTGTAGGCACATGCACCCCACCTGTCCTAGCAGCCTTAGAGGGAAATCTCTTGCCTCTGAGGAGGGAATATTTGAGCAAAGGAGAAAGAAGAAACCACTCTCTGAGGGCTGCTTATTTCAAAGATGGCTGCAAATGGCTCAACCTATTTCCCCTCCCTCCCCAATGACTGTAACAGGTCTCAGCTGTAATTTTGTGCCAGGTGATGAGGAGATTGCTGCACCTGGTGGGGGGCCAGGGGTCAGCCCTCTTCTGGCCCTCCTCTTGCCCAGCCA